CCTAAAATGACTGGATTAGAGGGAGATCTAATGATATTAAATACTACAAAACTATTATGACTATTGATTATTACTTCTATAGGAAGGGTTTCGTGAGTAATATCTCTAGAAGACAATGGACGACCATCTATGACTTCTACATGAACAGGTTTAGTTTTCTTTACTAAAGATATGCTATGTCTTTTAGTAAATTCTTCATCTAAAAAACACGTTGAGGCTCCTGAATCTAACAAGGCAGAGACTTTGTAATGTTTAGGTCCTAAAATAACATTTAATGTAAAACAAGGAGAGGGCTCTGAGGAGAGAATAGGACCTTTACTAGATGTTGTACAAGGTTCCAGCCGCACGGTCCCTATTGTAGCTGCACAAACTCGTTTTCCGACATATTATCTTCTTTCACAGCCATACTCCTCATTTTGTGATTGCGTCATTTCTTTGGACAATGTTGAGCAGTGTGCTTTGGTTCTCCACAATATAAACATATTCCTTCTTGACGACGACGAGTCTTTTCTTGCTCAGTAAGAGGTTTGAAACGTACTGCATCAATTTGCATATCCTCTACTTCCGAATGTATGTGTTGAACAGGTGTTGGTATTGCCATTGAATTATAGTAACGTTGAGGTCCACTTGTACGGTTCTCAGATCGAAATTCAAAAAGATGATTGTCGCACTTCACAGCAAAGTCAATTGCTTGACTCAATGTTTGAGGATCAGGTAAGTTGAGCATTAATTTTTTTACCTCATATTGTAATCCGTAGAGAAATTGGCTAATAAGTGCAGCATCATCTCACTTGATATCAATTGCAAGTTATCGAAATTGTGAAGCATATAACGTTACTGATCGATTGCCTTGTCGTAAAATACGGATCTTATTGGTTGCAAGACGAATTACATCATGTTCTCCATACATGGATCGAAACTCCGCCAAAAAAGCCTGTAGATTATCCAATATTGGATCTCGTTGTTCAAGAAAAGATGAAAACCACGATAGTGCCGAACCTGAAAGAAGCATACCAATGAATCTAACTTGTGATTCTGGAGTTGGATAGGTTTGGGATTGAAGTTCAATCACAAGTTGCACTTGATTGATAAATCCTCGAAACTTGGATCTAGTACCATCAAACTTCTTGGGTAGGACAATTCTTGGTTCTCTAACATTTGAAGGACGTTCCACCATAGGAGAAAGGACATGGTTTGGTAAAGATGTTGAAGCAGCTCCAACCATTTCTATATCTTCACTTCCTGCCAATCTTGTTGCTCCTTGTGGTGGTAAATTGAGTTAGTGCATTGCAAGCATTAACTCCCTCAATTGCTCTTGCATTTGTGCCATTGCACTCTTCATTTCAAGAAGTTCTGCCATGATAACACTTAGAAGAGAGAAGATATCTAATATCGCTCAAGATAAATAGAAGAGAGGACTTGCAGACAAAGAAAATACTAAGGACAATATCAGTTTAGAAGAGGGTAATTCGCAACTTCTAATACGCTTATATCTTATCAAGAAAAAAAGGGGTAATCCACTCTTAATCAAGATTAGACAAAGCTCTGATATTGTAGGTGTACTCTTGTCAATCTGTCAAGGACAAGAACTCGATGAAAAAACAATTTAGACAAGTGAGCCTTCACTCAAAGAGAGGTAACAAAATATATATAAAAAAGTATATATATTGAAAGAGAAACTAGAATGGCTATTGCCAAAAGACAAGAAAACTAAAGACCCTTGAAACTAGACTAGAAGCAAGAAAGGAGTTGACAAGAGTGAAGAAGCCTTCACTCTTGTCTCTATATATACTATCTAACTAAGGGCTACGTGGCGATGTTCTATAGGACCTCTAATATGTGTTGACTTTGTAGGACATATGCCTTGACTTACAAGGCAAGTTTTTCTACGTGTGGGCTACATAGTTAGCTTGATCTTCAAGCTAACAACATATGTGGCACATGGCCAACTTGTTGACCACGTTTCTAATCCAAAAAGTCAATTAAAGACACCTATGAAGTCAAAGTAGCGTCTAGGAAGTTTCTAAGAAGCTTCCATATTAAATACTATAAAATTAATTTACTTTTATCTACTTTTATTTAGTTCTACCTATTTTTATATGTAATTATTAGCTTACATGATTATGGCCGTGACAGATTGGTCCGAATGGTGGTTGAACTCCTTCTTGCAGATCAATTGAAGAATCATAAGATCAATTCTTGGAAAGAATATCTACATTTTTCTTTTCAAAAATACCTTGAAATTCTTGATATTGCTTAGGAATACCACTCGACATTGTTTCACCATTAGAAATGAATGTAGCATATATAGCAAAAGATAATCCTTCTTTTGCAACATGCATGAAAGCTTTTGCACCTACTAGTAAAGGTTTTGATATATTGGACTTACGTACTTCTACTTTGCTAATGCAATGATAGATTAAACTATCAGAGAAGTTAAGATTACGAGAGATCCAATCTATTTGAGGGTTTTATATTTCTAGCCATGATAATCCTAAAATAATCAGATTAGAGGGAGATTTTATTACATTAAATACTACTACACTGTTATGATCTTTAATTGATACATCTAAAGGAATAGTTTCATGGATAACATTTCCAAAAGACAACAAACGACCATCTATGACTTCTATATGTACGGATTTAACTTTCTTCACTAAAAGTATTTTTTTATTTTTGGCAAAATCTTTGTCTATAAAACATGTTGAGGCTCCTGAATCTATCAATGTAAAGACTTTGTGATTATTAGGTCCTAAATATACTTCTATTATAAAATAAGTTGAGGGGTCTAAGAAGAGGATAGGATCTTTTCTAGGTGTTGCATATGATTCGAGTTGCACAGTCCCTATTGTAGCTGGAGAAATTCGTTTTTTGACACATTATCTTCTTTAGTAATTATATTGCTTCTTTGGACAATATTGAGTAGTGTGCTTAGCTTCTCCACAATATAAACACAACCCCTTTTGGCGATGTCGAGTCTTTTCTTACTTTGTGAGAGGTTTAAAACGTATCATATCAATTTGTATTGGTTCTGGCTTTGATAAATACGTTTCAAAAAACTTGGGAGCTGCCGCCATTGCTTGATTTGTTCCTCTTCAACCAAATCTTTATTCTTGATACCTTTCAAATAAATGATTATCGCATGTAATGGCTTGAGTAATAAATTGTTCCAAAGATTTTATTTTTAGCATTATTAATAAAAAATCTTTGACGCTATTCTTCAATCCATATCAAAATTGGTTGATAAGTTTTTTGTCATTCCAATCCACGTCGCAAACAAGATTTTGGAATTCGGCAGCATATGTAGTGGCTAATCGTGATGCTTATCGTAAGGATAAAAGCTTGATCTCTACTACTCGTTCTCGATCACTTTCTCCAAATATGGCTATAAACACTTCTAAGAATGAATTCAAATCATAAAGGAGTCGTAGATATTTTTCCATTAAAAGTACAAACCAAGAGAGAGTACTTCCTAATAGTAGTGCGTCTATAAATCCAACTTGGATAAATCCATCAGGATATTGGAAAGGGTGCAATCTTAGATAGAGCTTGACTTGTTGCAAAAATCCTCAAAATTTTGATCTTGTTCCATGAAACTTCTCAGGCATATTAATCTTTGTCCATGTCATACTTGTAGAAGCAAAACTCCTTGGATTTGGTTGTGATGTTGATCTACTTGCTTCTTTCAACTGCACAACTTCTTGCTGCAAACTCTGAACTTCTTCCATAGGCATAGGCATAGGCATAGTACTTCCATGATTCACGTTGGAAATACGTGACATTTACACTCTTAGAGTGTTCACAAACTCATGAAGATCTCCAATAGTTGCAAATCTATTCTCACTTTCGTTAAGAGTAGCATCCATAATCTTTCCTTTCATAGACAACTCAAATGAATTCAAAGGTTAAATTAGAGGAGGGTAATCTGCAACCTCTAAAAACAAATCCCACAAAGAAGGGTAATCTACTCTCTTTAAGAAAAAGATCAAAATTAAAAAACAAGATTTTTTGTTTAAAAGTGAGTACTCCACAACCTTTAAAACACAATAATAGAAGTAAGGTAATCCACTCACTTCTAAAACAAGACAAAAATAATATATTAGCACTCTTGTTAAACTGTCAAGGACATGAATCTCAAAGAAAGAAAATCCTCAATACACTCTTCTATCACTAAAGAGAACTAGAAAGTCACTCAAAATGATAAATTATTGAACTAAAATGGCTATTGCCAAAGATAAGAAGACTAGAAAGTCTTGAAATAAGATTAAGGACTAGAAATGCGTTAACAAGAGTGAAGAAGGCTTTACTCTTGCCTCTATATATACTATCTAACTAAAAGCTACGTGGCGATGTCCTATAAGACCTCCAACATGTGTTGACTTTGCTAGCCACATGTCTTATCTTGCATGGCAAATTATCTATGTATGTGCCATGTAGTTGGCTTGTTCCACAAGCTACTACACAGAGATAACTTGTTCCACAAGCTACCAATACATGATTAGCTTTTTGGCCAAGTTTCTAACCTATAAACACATCGAAAGTCAAAACTGTGTCTATGAAGCTTCTAGGAAGCTTCTCTAGAAGACTTTATGAAATTATTCTATTTTGCCTTATTCTACTTAATCATATAAATAACTATTGAGGTAAATATATATGTCCGTGACATCTATTCCTTTGTTCATTCATGTTCTTTCATTTCTATGTTCTCTTATTTTTATATTTAACCAATAAAAAGAATTTATTATCTTATTGTCTTCTATCCAAGTTGCTTTATATACTAAATGTATAGGGCATAAATAATGTTATGAGGACATTGCTCTCACTTTCCACCATAGGGGGCGTTGAAAAATTATCCTTCTACCTATTGGAACCCCATGGGAGAATCCTAAACAATGGCCAACCTTATTATGCTACATCTATATCAAATATCAGTAATTAGAACACATAATATAACCACAACAAATAAAATAAAAAAATAAATGAAAAAATAGGAAAAAATATTATGCCGAATCAATTACTTATAAGAAACTTAAAAGATGCCTCTTCATTCTCAGGCAGACCTCCACAACTGTTGCTAGTGGTCTTTCTTCGCTCTCATTCTAAAAAACCCTCCATGCAAAGTGCCAAGTCAGCCGAATTCTGCTCCCAGCCATGTCAAGTTCATACAGCAAACGCTCCAGGGCAGAGAAGGAATGAGAAGGGCCAGAAGCGCGTGCAGGAAATCCATCGTTTTATTAGATGTTTCTGAAGCTCCGACACTGGACGAGGTGCTTCGAATCTGCCAGCATTCCAACAAAATTCATGGATGATGGAAGAGTGAATGACTTGGATAAGCAAGCTCTTCGGAATAGCGAAAAAGCTTCACGAACCTACGCGTCACAGAAGATCGTTGTCAGGCAAGATGGAATGACGTTCTAAACCCAACTCACGTGCCACTTTCATCGGCGAACAACCGAACCCTTGGGACCTTCTTCAACCCCAGGATGTAATGAATCGACATCGAGGTGCCAATCGATAAGGGCTCTTGGAAGTCATCAGCCTGTTGTCCCTGGCGTAACTTTGGTCCGTAGAGCTATGAGACTTGGGCTTGGGATGATGAAGGAGACTGAAAGTGGGTTTAGACCAGCATGAACTGCTGCTGCTGGGCAGGGTCGCGCTAATGGTTCCAAATTTGTAGATTTATAGGGAGAGTATCAAAATTGCGATTGCCCCAAAATTGTGGATGCACTGCCGGACGAAGAACAAAGATTCTTTGTTCCATGGGCGTTTTGCCACTGCAATAATCAGGACAGAGAAAAAGAGTTGGTTGAAACTCTTGAAGCTATCAGGTTTTCTACTCCTTGTGATCTCAAGCTGGGGGGTTTACAGGTGATTGGGTGTTACATCATGTCTACGAGAGCTCAATTTACAGTTTATACAAGCTTTCCCGGTCTAAGCCGCAGGCGTGGCTCTGACACAGAAAGTAATGGACTAAATCTACTGAGGATGTTGACTAGTTGAAAATATGCTTGTAGGACTCACTGAGAGTCATAATGGTGGTAGTAAACCTCTCCATGACTACTGAAATCCATAGCCTCGTGATCTAGTTCTCCGACGAAGTTAGGAATTTCAGAGAGCTCGTCATCAAGGATCACTTTGCCCAAGTCCCAACTCCAAGAGTGGTTATCGCGCGCATTTGCTTCCGTTACCGACATGGCCGTCGCCGATTCTTCCACTCCGTAGACAATTTCCAGGGGCTGTTCAATGTACGTGACCGCGCGAATCTCAGCTGCTGCAAGGTGTTGAGTAATAGGCTCGGAATGGACCGGGGGCTCTGTGGTAGTCAGGTTACCGCCACCCAACTTCGACCTGTCATTTTCCATTCGCACTACGTCCTTCGCCAGCGTCGCGATGGCTTTTCGTTGCGCTTCGGGGGTCAATTTCGACGAGATTCTCTGCAACATCTGAGTCGAATCCGGAAAGTTGAGCGGCAGGTTTTTCTTACAACACAAATTTCCGATGTCAAAGGCACGCGCTGCTTCCTCTGCAGTGTCATACGTCCCAAGCCAAATTTTCTTCGAGCACCTCGTGGGCCGAATCTCTGTCACGTACTTGTTCAGTTTCTGACGATAGCGCACTCCCCTGAAACCAGGCACGGCAGTGTCGGAAGGCTGATGCACCAAATCGCTGATCATATCACGAAACGCATCCCGGCGACGACGGTGGTAAGGTTTCTCCGAGAACGAATACGACTGCGACCTTGAATCAAAGCGATGCGTAGATTCCCTGCCACCAACTCCAGGTGATGCGTGCTCTCTACATTTTCGCGGATACTTTGAAGCCATATCACATGGAAACTTTGGATGAATCAACCCTCGAAGGTACTTTCCAGCTGCTGAAAACTCCTTCCGATTCAACCCGCTGCGTCAAAATTTCATGCACGCCTTCAATCGCACCTTCCTTCACCCCGAAATCCTTTAACTCTAGCTCGATTCCTCACACTCCTCCCACTCCCACCACGTCTCTGTCACTTACAAATTCCCCTCCACCTTCCTGTACCCAAAAACACATTTGAGAAAACCCACAATTAGTATCAGAAGCCGTAACCCCAACGACGGTCACAAATTCACGATTTCATGCTTAAGTGTCCGACTTCGATTAATAGGGAGATTAATTCACGACGACTCCGCCTGCAGACATTCAACGTGGGCCCACACACAACGCTTTGGGGGACCGCGTACGAGGCTCTCAGTTCCGGATGCACTGGTGTTACGCACCCACGTCCTCCTCCATGTTTTCTCTCTTCGTTCGTTCGTCCGTCAATTCAACGAACCACTCCTCGCTCGTCTCCTTGACGAAAGCCAAACATTCGTTCGTCGCTTCGACGTGACGTTGGCCACGTTTCTTGGCAACCATGGAATTCACAGCCTTAGGTTTGAAAAATTGTTCATGTGGAGGAATTTCGAGGAAGGAGCCGAAGCTTACTCCATCCGGCGTCCAATAGGTAATGGCAGCGTCCTCGAAAGTTTTTGGGAACGCGTTCGCATGCCCCCTAGTTGGGGCGTTCGCAGGTCGTATGGAGACGGGAACGGCAATCAGTGCCATGTCAGCATTCTGTACACGACAACTCTCCGCCAATCAGAGGTGAGAGTGGAGGTGCTTCCTGGTGCTTTCCGGTGTCAGAAGACGTATTGCTGCAATGCTATCTGATTTTATGCACTTTGTTGTAATATTAGTACAGACACAAATTAAACAATTCAACTCCCAATTATACTTAAGATAGATGCAAATTCTTCCATTTTTTCAGATAATTGCTTCAATCGTGTGGGCTCTCTTTGTTTATTAAGAAATATTCTTCAGTTTATGGTTATTCCTCACCATTTTCTAGTAATAGTCAATCAAATTATCTGCATTACAGATGTTGTTGTTGTTGTTGTAATTACGGTTACTATTGTAGCGAGTGACTCTAGTGATAAAGATCTTCAAATACATTATCTAGGATCATATGCCAGTTTTACAAATAACATGCATGCAACCAACGTGCAAATTACTATTTTTAATTTTAATAAATAGTTGTGTAGTCCTACGTGTCCTTCTAAGTATTATGATGATTGTTGTTAAATATAAGAAAGGCTGGACATTCAAAACACACTATGGGTGATGCCATAGAATAGTATATTCCTTGCATCATTATACATATATATATATGTATGTATGTATGTATAGAAGATGAGTATTATACTATAAAATAGTTAAAGACATAAAAACCAATAAACCATGTCAATCGATGACAAAAAAAAAATATGTTAAGTGTGAATATAAAACAATACTTTGTTTCGTTTATTTTCTAGCTTTGTTTTATTCATCTTTTAAATTGACCAGTGCAACAGAATCTTTAGTTTTACATTATTTTTGACATATACATACTTCAAAAAAAAATTGGTACATAAGAAGGGGTACTTTGTTTCAATGCTTGTTGAATATCTTACAATACATGTGATTATAAAAAATAAAAATAAACATTCCTGGTAAAACTTTATCAAAAAATTAATATTAATGTACATCATCAAACAACACAGAACAAACAATGGCACATGCTATGCCATTTTAAATAACATATATCACAGGTGTTAAATTTCCGTAGCTTTCAATATGAAGTAGTTTTTGCATGGATAGAATTTGTGATGAATCAAAAAAAAAACACACACACACATACACACACACAGTGTTGTGATATTACAATGTTAAAGAAGTGCTTATCATATTGTTGAAAGCTTTTTCACAAACTTAGGAAACATATGTGTTGTCCACTTGGATCAAATTCCTATGAGTCTGAGATATTTTCACTTATTAGGTGCAAATTGAAATGTTAATTTTGAGTTGGGTGGGGTGGGTGTCTACGATATTGTGTTAAAATGCAAGCAGGAGTTGAGAATCTTTGACCAAATAGAAATTATTGTCATCAATCAGTGACGTTGGATAACAAATTATTATTGGGTTAGAATACTCCTCCATGAAAGGTGTAATCTTTATTTTTTAAAAAAAACACATTTTGTTGGGGAGGATACTTTTGTAAGGTTGGAATATAGGCCATGTTTTTGAAAATAAAGTAGAGGAGTTATTTCATTTTTGAAAAATACTGTACATCTAATAATTATGCACACATTTGATAAGAATCTTTAATTTCTCACATTGAACTCATTTAGAGTTGTTCTTATTGTTGACATGTGATGCAATTTAATATTTTATTTTTAGTATATCAAATACTGATAGTGAAAAAAGCAGAACATGAAAGTTTGATATCCCAGATATTATTATTACATAAGATTATCTTTTTTGTAGAAAAGATTAGCTAAATCAGATACACTGTCGTAGCAGGATAGAGATTATTATTCTTTGCCATGATACCAACTCCGACTATTGTAATATTTTTCAACGTGATGTCCTCAACAGAAACAATATTTGAATTAATACAAGTCATAGATCGATTGATTGATATAGATTAGAAGTAAGAAATGTTTGCTTAGGGGTCTTTACATTTAGGGGACAAGGTGGTTAATCACCATGTCTGATGCAACTTTGGCAAATTCAACTTGTGCGTGTAGTGCATTTACAAATACTATCCAATTTTAATACTGTTTGACTTTAATTCCTAAAGTCATGGGCTACAAACCGAGAAGAAGATACATTGATTTTTTTTCTTTCCAATTATGCTTGCATTGAATCCCACAATTCATTTAGGTGTACAATGATGTTAAATTGACATCCATTCCAATGCCAAGTTTAAGGGTGGATTCTCAATGACCTACAATGTTGTGGGGGTAGAAATGAAATTAGGGTTTGGGGGATTGAAGGAACCTTTTTGGGCAACACCTAGCTCTCTTACTCGAAGCTTCGGAGGAAGGATTTCCATCATTTTGTGAGCAAGGGCTTTTTTTTCTGGAAGATAAAAAAGACTTACTGCAATTTGTTGTTGTTGAAGGGGATTCGGAGGGAAGTTTGTTGATGATATGAGGCGGCGATTATTCTTGTTTTGTTTTATTTGCCTCTCCAGTTGCGCTCTTCTTTGCAATCCCTCCGTTCAACTTCAGTGCACCAGCTTCTGTACCCTCCACCAACAAACGAACACCTCTGTGTTTAGAAGACTTCACTGTCTTACGTGAAAGTTTTGGAATCGTTTGTAACCTCTCTTGTTGTTCGAATAGAGAAGTACATTTGAGCTCCCAGTTCCGCACATCTCGTGTTGGTAAAAATTAGACAGGGTCTGGAGAGAGAGAATCTACCTATCGCCTTGAACAAAGTCATTGCATGAAGCGAATTATTTCCAACCACCGGCAAATTTCCGCTCGAGCATGGGCGAGTAGATTGTTGCAAATGATGTTCGTAGCCAACATGATCAAAATACGCACACGCAACACTTTGTCACCGTGTTGTTATACAAACCACGTGGGTAATGTTTGGAGAAGGTGTGAATGAGAAAGGAAATCAGAAGCAGCGGGAAATAAGAAGCAATCTACAAGCATGAACATGAATTTCTGAGCTTGACAGAACTGAGCTTGAATTTCTGACGCGAACAGCTAACGGACGTAGGTGTTCCAGAGCGACGAATCAATACATTGTGGCAAGGTGGCCATGTTTCTCAAAGTAGTGCTTGCCCTGGAAGCTCTTAAGTGTTGCGCTCATATGTCATTCTCGCGTCTCTGACCATCGTCGCCTCACATCATATGGGAATCGCTCAAGTTCTTGAAATCGTCTAGCTTGAAGCACCTATAACAATGTCGGTGAGATTTCGGTGCGATTTTTTCGGCGTTTTTATCGCTATACCCTTGCTTGTAGATTGGGAAACGACCATTGATTGAAATAATGGCTTCGGAACTCACCGCGAATAGCGGAAGTAAAGGTGGAGGTGGCAAAGGTGGATGAGGGCACATCTCGCCGCCAGATGAACCGCGCACATGCGGTCCTGTAGGGGATAGGCTGCAAACCGATCAGCAGCTCTCACGCGTGAATTGAGGCTGCAGTATCAGACACCAACCCCCATCTCCCTCTCTCTCTCTCTCTCTCTTTCTCATATCTCTCCTTAAAGAGTTTCTCGTCGAGTCGTGTGCTTTTGTGCTTCATTCGGTTCCTCTCGTAACCCACTGCTCCTGGTCTTTTGTATGGTTTGGAGGTACGTTGGGCATGCCCTTGGTGTAGTTTTAGCAACAAGCGGGGAAGGTTTTTTTTGATGTAGCGACTTGGTGCTTTTGGATTCAAGTTTTCTAGGATCTGGTTGATGCTTAAATATTTGGATGGCGTTATCCTTTATATGTTTATATTTTAACTTAGGGCTGTTATCGTATTGACAAGCGTTTTGGAGGGGATAAGGAGAGGGTGATTTTAGGCAGAAGGGATAATGGTGGATGTCGGGCTTTTTTGGGGTCTTGAAGGGTGCTGCGATAAGTTGAGGAATCATGGCGGAGCACTTGACTGAAGAGCAGATTGCTGAGTTCAAGGAGGCGTTCAGTTTATTTGACAAGGATGGCGATGGTATGGTGTCTATGCGGATTAGTTGCACATCTCTTCCTTACTTCTCATACTTGTTCGGTAGTCTTGCTGCAATTTTCTAGCATTTCTGCTTAATCTTGTGTGCAGGATGCGCTTGCTGTTAGGTCTAACATAGTTGTGGACATGATCGAATGACAGGTAGCATCACGACCAAGGAGCTGGGAACAGTAATGCGGTCGCTGGGTCAGAATCCCACCGAGGCAGAGTTGCAGGACATGATCAATGAGGTTGATGCCGATGGAAACGGCACTATCGATTTTCCCGAGTTTCTAAACCTCATGGCCCGGAAAATGAAGGTATGTCTTCTCCAGACATTGAAATGATGTTTCTCACCACTTCTAAGTTCAAGTATCTTCGATGTAATACAAATCATCACACTAGTTTACTTTTTGTGCATATTGAGGTCCGTTTTTGATACATTCTGGTGACGTTCAAGAGGGTTACTCCTTGCTTATAGGTGATAGATTCGGATTCCCAGTTGTTTCTAATAGGATTTGTTTTTGTAAACAGGATACCGACTCTGAGGAGGAGTTGAAGGAAGCGTTTAAAGTATTCGATAAGGATCAGAATGGCTTCATCTCTGCTGCGGAGGTCAGTCTCGCATTTTTTATTTATTTTTTTCTTCTTGGCTCTTCGTATGTAACTTTTCAACATTTATTATTATTTATCTCTTGATAGCCACTCCGCAATTTTTTATACTCCCTTCTGAACTCTCCCATGGTCTCTGCCTTTGAGCCTTTTGAGAAGTCGTGCAATCAGATGATCGAAGAATGGATTCGAATCTGATTGTGTCGTGAAGGATATGTAGATAATCGTTGCACGCGTTGTGCGCAAATAGTGAAACTTATATGCCAGAGTCTTAGACATGTTCTTTTTTTGGAGATGATTTTAATATTGGGATTATGTGAATGAAGCTCCGGCACGTGATGACCAACCTGGGGGAAAAGCTGACAGACGAAGAAGTAGATGAGATGATCCGCGAGGCCGATGTGGATGGTGACGGCCAGGTCGACTACGACGAGTTTGTGAAGATGATGAAGGCAAAGTAGAGCATTGGTTGTGCTCTGTTTTCCTCTGTAAAAATGGTTCTTCCTTTGCTTTTCTTCATCCCTGTACCTTTCAGTATACCCGTGACCCTGGTGAAGTGAGCTTTTGTAAGGAGGCAAACTGCCGAATGATAAAATTTACTCTCCTCCAGTTTGGACAAGGTTTCGCCATTCTGCTTGTAAGATGAAATTTACCCACATCCACTGCAGACAGGCATGTCTTGTACTATTTTGTTTCTGAATGCTGTCGTCTTGACATCTTCGCCCTTTTGGCTTGAATCAAATCATGAAAGACTTTCTACCTCGTGAAACCCAATGGCTGATTCTGTAGTAGGTGCTTTAGGGTATTGTGTTACACCCTTGTTTTTTTATACAATCACGGAACATATCAAATTTCAAAGTGGCGTTGATTCATTGATCTTGATGTGTCGTTTTATATTCGGTTCACGTTGTATGTCACTCAAAATATACATATACTTCATTAGAAAACAACATACATATGTATATAATTTCATTGTGAAGGGGAAGAATGTTAAAACATGGATGTACATCTATTATTGATGTTCTATCCATATATAACATGTATGATATAACACGAGTCTATTATTGATGTTCTATCCATGTGATCACTTTCATTGCCATTTTTTAAATGTTTTAATGCACGCAGGGTTTGTCATATCTTTTTGCAAAACCAGAGAAAAGCTGATTTATTGTATACTACATAACTTCAATACTTTGATGACGAAATCATGAAGTTGAGGACTATTTTATTTACAATATGTTTGTGATCAATTCTTTTGTAGGTATGAGAATAAGAGCTACCAAATTAGTGAAGACTGAGGAACAACAATTTCTTCATAATAATTTTATTTTATTTTTTGAAATTAAAGAAATCTGATAAGAAAAGGTAATATAATAAAATATAATGCATACTTCATATTTGAATAAGGATGTTTTTTAAATAAACTATATTGTCTTATTTTTAATGATTTACATCTTTTAATTGTTTTTCTAAAATTCTTAAATCAATTTTGTTGTGTATATGTATTTGTATATGAGTGTATATATATATATATATATATATATATAGGTAACTATTTAAGAAGCAATTTCGTTTTGTGTGTTGTCAGTGAAAATATACAAAATTTATTCAAATTAATAGAACTTAATTACAAAGTTGCAATTATTATTTATTTTTTGTGTAATTGACTCAAAAATTCTTGTATTTTTTTGCAACTCTTGAGTGTAGAAGATGTTTTATTACTTTCTTGCAAGCAAACATTTTAATAAAATTTATTAACAACAATGTTAAAATGTTAACATTATTGTCAATAGTTTTATTTGTTATGTTTCTTATAAGCAAACATTGTTGGTTCCAAGTTCCTAAATTCAATAAGGAAATCAACCTAGGTAAGTTTTGCATGATCTCAAGACAATCAATTGAAATGATTTTAGATTTATTTAGATAAATTTTTATACTTTTAAATATATTCTAAATATAAAAAAAAGACTTTAGATTTACAACAAAATCAAACCAATTAGCTAAATAAATGTAGACTTTATTTGTTTATTTTATTATATAGCTCTTAAATATTACTAGTGTAAATTTAGAATTTGATTTTTAAAATTTTTTAAATCCATAAAATTTTTTTACAATAATAATTAGTTTTTTTTTGTGTATTAAATTAAGAATTATTTTTTATATGATTTTTTAATAAAATTATATATGTATATATATATATTCACTTGTCATGTTGGATGGAACTAGGTGGTGTAGCTAACTATCTTTTTATACAAAGACCACTTTAAGTACTTTCTAACTTTTTAGCTTTCTTTTGGCCACATATTCCTTAATGATACTTCAATTGGTCAAGTCAATCTTTTACAACTATCACACTTTAGTATAAATGTTTATAGACTCATTATACAGTATATTACAATAAAGTTTACAAAGATGTATTTTTTTCTTGACTAAAAAATTAAAATTTAATTCTATCTTATTTTCCTTTAGTTTGTTTCTAGACTAATCGTTTGAAATGGAAACTACTAAATAAAATTATATTTCAGGTGAATTATTCAAAAACTGAGTTAAATGGTGACAATATTAAATCATAATTTACCTAAAACAGTGCCAATTTTAATTTTAACTTTCTTTTCTTGATTGAGAAACTTATCTTGAACTTGATGAACTCATTTCCTTTTTATTACATCATATATTGCACTCTTAAAAAATAAAAAATGAAGCGCATAAATGTACATCAGCTCACCAGTATTTGCACACGGCTAATTCGTCAAAGTGATGTAATAACAAACAAAATAGCAATACCAATAGCCAAAATGCAAGCAAAAATTGTCATCAAATTTTGTCAACACCGAACTGATTCAGTGAGTAACTTGTACAGAGATTTTCTGTACACCTTTACAGATTCTCTCGTGTTTGCTCATTTCACTACTTCTTCCTAACCTGGCTCTAATTCCAAGTCAGGAAGGTGCAAGCACACGAGATAAGACATGGATCTAGCTTTCTCACAATGAGAATTTGTAAGAGAAGGCAAGGCTGGGACTTTCTTATTACAACCGAACCTGAAAATGGAAACACACACCATGCTCAGATTGTTGCCAAAATTAGCATCGGCTGTGGTTACGCCTTTCAAGCCTAGATAGGTGATAAAGTTGATAAGATTCAACACGATGTCAGTGACCAAAATAGATTAACTTGATCAATGAATCAACCTTACTTTGGTCACTGATAAGTATAAACAAGAGTTAATTAGTGTTATTAAACTTACCCCAACTGTTGCAATGAGAACAATGTTGCCAACTATTGCCGTTGCCACATGTCCAAACATCCGATCAGCGAGTTTCGCATATGGATTGAAGTGCTCATAATCGGCACCATTATCAGAGATCGTTCCTTCAAAAGCCAATAGTTAGCATTCACAGGTGTGAAACGACACACAGTCGTCTTGTCGTTTAAAAACTTATTACTGCAAGATATGAAAGAAGGCTAGTAAACAGATTTGCCATGGTACAAGGGAAGAGAAAGTATCACAAACCTTATTACAGTACAAAGTGAAGAGCAAATAGGAAACCAATGGCAACGCCAGAACGGTGGGCGCAACCCACACCGACGCATTCATACTGGCAGCAGTGACCGCATATGTAACCGACTCATCGGCAGCAATAGCATCCATGGCTTGAATTCCGAAAAGCCCTGCCATTGCTAATCCTAAAGTCCACCATGTGCCACTAATTTCAGTCGCTTTATTAACAAGCTCCACAGCATTTTCTCTGCTGTCGCTCACCAACTCCTGCAGGTATGAATCATCCTGCAATTTCCAGACAATATCAACCGTCATAAACGACTGTACTACAATTTATCCAGGACTTCGTCAAGGGAAAATTGCAGCGCAAAACCTTGCCGAGTCCCTCAATGCGTTCACATTTTGCAGGGCCAGCGATGGTCTTTCTAAGGGAAGAGATGGTTATAGAAACTAACCAAAGGCTGCATTCTCAGTGCTTCTTGGTGCAAGTTTTCGGCGTCCTTGCCCATACTCTCACGAGCAGGTTCCCAAGAGTTCCAGAGAATCTTTTCGATATCAACTCGTAACTGTTTTGCAATGCATTGGCGTAGCTTTGCGACCTCGGTTTCCCAGTCAAAGCTGTTGTCCACACCATGTGCTAGCACCTCTGTTGCCTGCATCCCAATTTAGTGTATAAGTTAAGCACAAGAAGAAAAAAGTTAAATTCAGTATTGTTGAGTTTTACGCTAACTCAAGCAGGGATGTTCGAAGGTTTCCTACGAGAAACGATGCGCCAGTTCACCTGCAGGGCAGCTTCTCTCCTCAATTCCTCCACCCGTAAGCGAACACCCATATCATCTTGAAGGTCTTGGATACCGTGAAGAGCAGGCGGATGCAAGACACTGTCGAACATGCAGTCATGCAACAAATCATATATGACACGTCCGAGTCGTTCCAAGTCCATCTCCCGCTTGCCTTGCGCAGTCAAGGCACCAAGAGCCTCTTCCCGCAGCTCAGCTACGGATTGTTGCCAATCGAAGTCTGAAGAAAGAGCTAACAACTCGGGCGTCTCAGCCACTATACCCTCTACATCTATACTCGGGGAAGTCTCTAATAATACATGACCAGCTGTGGCAGCAGACGATGCGCTTCGTTTTCTTTGATTGGGGCGTTGAGAAATTGACAACCTCTTCAGACGTGGTAATGCCAAGAGTCCTGCCCTTTGGAAAAATACCCTTTCTGAGGCGCGTGAGCCAGGGCCTTCAGCCCCACAAATAGATTTAGCTCCATATTGGTGACACGGGAATGCATGATAAGCAGCTGTTGCACTGTCCATCTTCCTACAACCTTGAATCTGCAGACAGCCACCTCAGCTTAAGTACAAACAATTACATGGAAACTCCAGCGATCAAAATGGATAAGTCATTACACAGTAGGAATGTTCAGGAGGGTCACAAATCGTTTTGTACCAACGCTACACAAAATGGCATTGACACACGGCAAGGATCGAGACCTGAGTAGTGGCCGATGTACTGATGTAGAAATTCTAAAATAAGCACTTCCCTGTCCTCAAATTAGTCACCATAATTTTGAGTCGATATATCACCACGTAGAGTCCTCACAGGCGACGTTTTCACCTGGACATGACACAGCCAGCGACTTGTTAGTGCAATCTCAGGGCTACGTCAATCATGACCTATACCAACGCAATCGATCAAAACTCTTAATAATTCAATTGATTATGCAACAGATTGAGAATCAAAAATGATTTGTGCGTTGAACACATGGATATAATTTTACAACCCATAACAGTCCATAACAGTGTCGATTATCAACCGGTGAAAAACCAGTTGCATACACAGCTTTTCAAAATTCGATCTAAGTCCCTTGGATTAACAGACCAAGCGCTGGAGGCAAGGGAAAAAATCTCAAATTGCAACGAAGGAACCGGGCAAATATGACTTTATCGAAATCAGACCTTTCTACAATCCTTACGACACCAACATGAACCTGCTGACGCTTTCGCTTCAAAGCATCTAATGCAATTTGACAAAAAACTGTTACGTTCTGGTTGTTGTTTACAATTCGAAATTCCAAGAAGATCGGACACACTTCAAAATCAAATACATCCTACCCACTAAAACGTTTCTTCTCGAAACTAACCATTCACAGCACCGCCAACGAGGGATAGGTGAAACCGTACTTCCTGAGGTCTACCAAGTGCTGTAGCGATCCCCCATCTGAACGCCGTCTGCTACTGGGTACTACTATTCAAGCAAGTTCTTCACAAAATTGCCACACTTCTCGGCTCCGAAAGGAACTCAAGCAATTCACCAATCCAACACTCTCTCATCACTCAAACTGCGATCCCCACGAGAGCCCAATTCACGTGGTATCATCCACTTGGGCGACAATTGTCGGGTGCTTCCAAGCAGACGATCGCCGAATCGTGACTACTTGTCTGTTTATATTAGAGCAGCAGCAAAAGCAGCAGCATGAGGCTGGTAAAGCAAAGCAGCCTTATCGTCTTCGCCCCCACCAGCACGAATGGGGACTGCACAGGTGATGCAATTGCGAGCACGCGTGCTCCCGGCAAATATCCTCCTCCTCCTCCATCGCTCTCCTTTCTTCCTTCTTTTGCTTCCTCTCAATTTTGTTTTTATTTTATATTTTTTGGTGTGTTTTTGTGGATTTTTTCAAATTCTTCTGAATTGATTTAATTTCTGTGTGGCAGTTGCGTGTTTATATGACGGTTTTTGTGGGTTTTTGTGGGTATATTCATATCCTGCAGAATTGAAATATATTCAGTGTGATAATTGTTTGTTTGTTTGTTTGTCTTCCAACGAATCCACGGAAGCTGAGGCTGCATCAACTCCGACCATCTGAATCCGATCTTCTTCTTCGACTTCATTGCACGCAACGTTGTCTTTGCTTCCCTGAATTCTCCTTTCAGGCAGCGCCACGAGTCACTTTTGTTTTTGCTTTCTAAACTTTTTAAAACAGTCTTTTTGGGGTTCTGAATGATACTTTTCTGCGTTCATTGGGTGGAGGGGAAAGTGAGGAGTGTTCGGAGAAACTTGTTTTGGACAAATTCCATGCCAATCTTTTTTCGTATCTTTTTTCTCATTGTCACACAATCCTTATTGTGATATGATTTCTTTTCTTAAATGATTTTTTAATTTTTTTTTAATCTTCTTTCAGAAAATTGGCATATGATCCTTTTCTTTGGGTGCATTCTAGAGTGTTTCCACTTTGCAAAAAACAAATTGGGTTGTATGTGTTAGTGGTAATAGATTATTCTTTTTTCATTGAAATTGTGGACTTGGTAGCTTTGGTAGAGCAAAGGGGATGGATGGATGACTTATATAAATCTTCTAAATTGCATTGCAAAGATTGTCAATAATTTGTATTTAAATAGTTGTATTGTCGGAAGGACAAATAGTTTTAATTGCAAGAGAACAATAAGAAATTGAATGAAGTTCAAAAATCTTTTTGTTTCTTAAGATGACATTATTTGTTTCTTAGGTTGGTTGTGACAAAAAAAATGTATATATATATATATATATATATATAAAAACTCAATTTATTAAAAATATTCAAATAAGTAAATTTTATATCCACAAAAATAAATAAATAAGTAAATATTTTTTAAAAAATAATTCAACTTTGTTCTATAATGTATTTTTGTTATTATTAGATAAAAACAAGCCATATCTTACATTAGTATTGATAAGAAATTTTGACTCAATTTTTTTCAATATGAATAGTTTTTAATAAATTTTAGAAATATGTGATTTATCATTTATTTTTGTTTAACATAGAATATAAAATAATTTCACAATTATATATTTATTTGAATATTTAAAATAAATTGATTGAAATGAATACTATTTAGATTTTTATTTTTATTTTTATACGAGAATTATTTAAATATAAGGAAAATTTTAAAAGCACACATCAATTCAAATCTATGATGCATATTGCAAATATATATCTCTAATTCAAACCTCAATGGATGCAAATTTTATAAATTTTGGAGAGTTATGCAATTTTAGAATTCCCAAGTGATTTGATCAATAAAAGAGCAATCTAATTCCCTCCAAATTCTTCCCTCATTAATAAATTCAAAGAGATTGCTAAAGTGTTGCAAATTCTCTACCTTCACATATTGGTGTTTTATTGCAATACATTTTTCTACACATCTCCAAGCTTGTAACTCTTCAACTTATTTTGGAATATCATAGAGGAGTCTTTTGTTTCTTGAGCAGGTCACAAGGATTGCATAGATCTATAATAGCCATTGAAGCAACTGCAAGATGAGAATTCTTTGCTATGTCATTGGAAAGAGTTTGTGACTTAAAAAGAATTATCTAATAAGATAGTCTAGAGAGTACAATCCATTTTCTTGGATGTGGATGCCATGCTCAGCTTGCAATGCAATGGCCACATGACTACCTAGAAATAGCTTGCATTACTCCATTCATAGACCACTCAACATTGTCTTCTATATGTTTTACAAAACATTATTGTTTTTGTAATGTAGAAGATTTTGTAGAAAGTAGGAGAAGGAACATGAGTAAGGGCTCAAATATCACACGTAATGGGGGTGCAATGAAAGGAGGATCCAATTCACTGAGGCTAATAGACCACACTTTGTGCAATGAAAAGATTATGAAGTAAAATGGTCTCTTTTTTTCTAAAGCAATTTTCAAGTTTGTTAATCTGATTGTTATTGCAACCATAATGATTTGTTTCTTAATCTCTTCAAGAATTAACATTAAAAATCATCATTAATACAATTAAAGATAGTTCTTCACAATTGAACTATCCCTTAGTATCCAAATCTAAAGACCTTAATTAAGCATTACATATGCTCATTGTGCCTTCTTGCTTTTGTAGAAAACCATGGAGATAATTTATCACATGGCATTAGGAAGTATGATTATGGTTGCCAAATACCCTCACTTAAATTGCAAAAGTTCTCATTTTTTAAAATTAATTATCAAAAAACCAAGGTTATAAGTTTACAACCTAGAAACAACCTCTGTTCCAACAAATATTATTATGAAGGAATATTAATCAAGGGGTATAATTTAAATGAGATACATTTGAATTGTCAAAACAATGAAGAATAGTTTATATAAAAATTGAGAACATTTTTTTAAAACAATGCTGAAATACCTTGATATGTACAATAACATGATAAAAATATCCAATAAGTCAACAGAGTTAAAATAAAAAAAAGAACCGTATGTTGATTTAATTTGTTCTTTTAGTAATTTATTCAAATCCAATATAGATTCAAGTAAAGACAACTATTCTTCTGTTCAAATTTCTCATGTTCTTTCTGTTCTATAGTTGATTCAAGAATGAGTTGGGATTCCATAGCCTTCCAGCAATGTACTGTAATAAGTTAAAAGCTTGCGAAAACCTGTTTAGATAGTTAACTAACAAACAGAGCTGAAAGAGATTTGAGCGATAGCTGCAAAGTAAAATTAATCTTATGCAAAACATTCGGTTTACCCAAGACTCACCCACAATACTTGCACAATTTCAACAGTTCGAAGGGGCATTATGTTTTCCAGTTCATTCCATCTCATCAATGCAATCTTTTGCTTAAATCTAGATTTTCCTCTGTTCTCAACACGTTAAACCTGCTTCCTTGATTAACAAGGAACTGAAATTCATTCTAACAAGGCAGTGTGCAACACAACCACCAAGCACAGATGAGTAGAGGACACAACATGTAAACACATTGTGCCTGGTGTATAATAGCAGCATAATCCAACGAAAGAACAAAGGTGGTGATCCACTTACATAATGCCAGCATGAACTCATCACCTGCCAAGTTACAGTCCGGCTCACATCACGAATGATACATTACTGAACGGAGTCCACAGACGTGCCTCAAGAGTAGCATGAGTTGATTTCATGGGGAATACGTGTTATAACAGTTCCATGACTACTCTACCAGAACTTAAATTCTCTTCAGAGATGGAGCACTCAGAGAACAATGGATTTGAATTTCAACGAAATGCGTAATTTGTCAATGGAAAACTATGCTCATGCAAGCCGAGAAATTGCAGCGATGGACTAATCACTGTATGTGCAGCATGGAAAACGAATGAATGAACAACCAAGAAATCTCAGATAAAACTTTTGTCCAAGACCAGGTTAAAGATTGCAACTCAGATCCTCCACGTACTTCACCTGATGACACCATGGAGATATGGGTTTCAGCAAAGTACACAGGTTCCGAAAGTGAATAGGTTAATAGGCTACGCCGCAATTACTGCACTTTCAGTGTGACTTTATGAACCATAGTTTCCTTGTGGATTTGGTGACAGCTTTTCTCAACCAGGTCCAACAACTTCTCAATGCTAACCGCCCAAGAGTTGAGAACATCATTGCTGTCCATCTTGCTGATGAAACACACCACGCCTGCAGGTCTATCAACCTTCGCAACCAACGCCTTTGATACCACCATTTCTGAGAGGTGCTTCTCGGCTTCCTGGCGCATGATCACAACAGAAGAGTGAACAATCAAATCTTGTGCCCACCAAATCACTCTTTCTCTAAAAAACATTACCACCAAATGCTATATTCCGGATGATATAACAGACCTAACAGTAAACAAGTCATGACCAAGCCTTCCTCATAAGTGGAAATCACTAACAATGACTGCCTTTATCATGGAATAGTTGTCAAGAGGGCTACACTACACACCAGAACTCCACACCAGAACTTGTGCGATTAATGCCTAAATACAAAGAGGATGTTTGAGACCCGGTCTAACCATCAATGCAATTATATTCTCCTATTATGAGATGACAGATGGCCCACTCACGCTATCTATGGTGGTAACAAACCTCATTATAGTAGGCAACGGAGTATCTACAATATTACCAAGCGTAGCATGTAAATAAGGACGTAGGTAATGGACACACAACTTTCAAAATGCTGACTTACCTGGCCAGTGAGGCACAACAATTCTGAGAGCCTCTTCAATGTGATTCTTGAGTAGTACTTTGAAACCACCAGGATGTTCTGGAAAAATGCGACAATAGTAATTTGAGGCACTGAATATTGTACTCGTCAAAGAAAAATTGAGTAGCAAATTAATCAAAGTTTTTCGTAAAAAACACGGCAAGGTCCTCTTCAATTATCAGTATGGAATCATACATGCTCAATAACTCGCAGGCGAAGATCTTCAGCTGCTCGATCTCCGAGGGCCCCACCAGGAAGATTAGCCTCCTCCTCAAACTCAATCTTGTAATCTTCCCAAAAGGGGTCCCATCTTATTACTTCCATTGTCACAAACTGTTTAAGCAACGCTCTGCAACCACAGCAGTAAAATTCTTCGATTAACAAAGATCTTGGTACTTGATTAATAACTTCCAAGAGTAAAAATGAAACATGCTCTTCAAAATATTCTTAATCAATGTATCGAGGAATTGAAATAGTTAGAATGTCTAAAGGTGTTCTATCCAATCACAATGCGACATTTAAATTACACATATAGCTAGCTTGAAACAATGTTCACATCTGGTACACCCTGACGTTCCACAGCACTGTGGTCAATTTTCCCAATAAAAAACCACTAGAGATGCGAACTTCATAACTCTTAAGATACCCAAATTGCACAAGTTCTGAGAAATTTGGAACAAGCTGGTGCAGAGAAAACAGTTGGATAAGCACGCACTGAAACTTAGGAATCTCGGACAACTTCTTATCTTCAAGCGTACTGTTCATCAAACTGGATTGCATGGGATCGTGAGGCGCCAAAACTAAGTACCAACATATCTTCCTTAAAATCTGAGACACCAACCCATCCCAAGTAAATATAATATTATGGCCAAAATCAAAAGGGAAACGGAGGACAATGATTCTTCAAAGATGTCATCTAAAAGATATAATCCCACACAACATCGACGAAGCAAAAGCAACCAAAAGACACTTACAGGAACCCACTCTGGCTGCCCTTCCACTGCCATGGCAGTATCAGAAGATGATGTTTCATCCTTGACCAGGGCCTCGTATATACACTGATAGCTCCGACACATTTCCAAGTATTCATGGTTGTGTGCGTTGTACCTGCACAGATCAACATCCCTTAATTACTGCATATCATCGAAAATTCCTAAATGCATAGCAATCAATGTCTGCAAAACATCGCATTCATAGATGAAACTAGCGTACAATTGACAATCCATTCAACATTATGACACAGCTGCACAATATCCAGCAAAGAATGTATTACATAAAAATCTAACTCGAAGACAAACCTAATCATAAGCTCATAGTAAATCCGCCTCAATTCAGATAGTGTTGGCACGTCGGGAGCCGGTTCCTCTACCATAGAGTCACCCTCTTTTGCTTTCTTCTTTTGCTTAGGAGTTTCGGTAAAACTTCTAGGATTAATTTTTCTCGACAAGATCTGAGCCCTAATAAAATCCTTGCGATCGAGGCAAAGCCGAACCTGCAACATCATTCTAATATGAGTAATGATTCGGAAAGTACCAAACTGAAAGCTTCAGTATCGTTCCTAAATACGAGCTAGCATATACAGCATAGCGTAAAGCCAAGAAATTTCCTTACCTGCTCTAGAATGAAAGCAATTTTCTCTGTCTTTGCCATAGCACCGAAGGTCTCCACCTTCATTGGAGTATTGCAACATTATTAGATCAGGTGCATCAATTAGAAAGCTGCGTAGACCAATCTACTGGTTCAGGCACCGCATACCACTTCACACCGACTTCGAGATCAAAAACGAAATTTCTTGCTCCTAAATATAAGTTTCAAAAAAAGTGGAAGATTAGGGATCATACTGCAACTTCTTGCATGCATTCTGCGGCTTCAGCAATTTGCCCTTGTTCTTCACGGATCTTCGCTAGCTTCTTGATTAAACGTGCTCTTTCTATCTCCACATATATCTACCAATAAAACCAACGATGAATCAATATGGATACTGTTCAAAAGACACTGCTCAACATGATATCATCAAGAGTATGTGAGCAATCAGACAACGAAAGAGTACCTTCCCTGCAGATACAGTGTTGAGAGTCTGAATCAACTCAATTCGAGTTTCTACGTCTGGAGTTTCATCAATATACTGCATAGCTTGCTGCACCATCGCAGTCACAGCCTGCATATCATCATCAATGCCATACCTTTAGTTCGTTATGACTGAATCGAGAAGTGACAATGAGCTCGCTGACGCCAAATAATAAGCAATTAATGTGAGGTGAGCTACCTCAAAAGCGATATCGAGCTCAATACAATCATAAGATCACCTCCATGAAAAGACGTATCAATTTTCCGATTACGTTACGAAACCCTAACTACCAATCAAAGACAAATTCTCACGCTGAATTGGGTAAAAATCAAGCGGGTGAGACGCGCTGATAGCACTAGATATCTCCCGAAACAAAACCCAAAAGAAAAAAGAAAAAAGTGAAAATTGTAAAATGGAAAAAAAATACAAAATCATGTGTCTTGTAATCTTCTCTCAATGCTCCTGTAATCAACATTTCATCGAATAGAAGCAAAACTTAAATAGATAAATAAAAATAGGAACACCTCTTACTTGCTTAAGTTGTGACCGTCGCTTCGACAGAAGCAGAATTTGCTCATTAAGGGTCTTCCATGCCTTGCCTTCATAGCACAATCGAATGATTTCAGTCACCACCTTCTTGGTGCCAGCGACATCCGCAGCAAGACGCACTTGTTTCTCTTCATTCAGCAGAGCCTCAATCCTCGCATCCAGCTTACCGTCCTCCTGTACAAACCCCATAATATTAACGACACAAAGAAGAATTACATCTTCAATCTGTTCGACGACACCCCAACACCCCGAGACAGCAGCTAAACCTACCCAACAACAAGTGATCCGCACAGACTGACTCTTCCCCAAGCGGCAGCGACCAGACAAGTGCAGCGTGAAGGGGCCAAATCACCACGCACCATAGCCAAGCGGCGTAGTGAGATCCAGTGCAACTCGAAGCAGCTTCGGGTTGGAAGCAAGCGAAGTAGAAGAGAAGTGCGAGGTCAATTCTGCTGCCACAAGTTGGCACCAAATAGTCCACAAGAACAATAACAAACAAATAAATAAATAAATAAACAACGAACGAACAAAGCTCAAACTACAGACACACACACTCTTCCATCCCTCACCAGGTCAAGCCGGGCCGGGCCGGGTTGCACGCGGGTCCCTGGCCGCCCTGCATTGTGTGTTTTACTCCATTCAATTCAATGTTCTCACACTATTTATTTATTCTATTTAGAGGAATGTTAAATAGACCCAATTTTTTACTAGATCAACCCACCTATTCTAACCATCATGGAAAAAATAAAAAAATAAAAAATGATTTCTCTAGATTTATTTTTTTACTACTGGATTTACAATCAATAGAAACCAACTACATTTATCATGATTATTATTTTCTTTATCAAGATTTGATCTATTTTGTAAAAAATTATAAATTTAAAATTTTATTTTTATTTATTTATTTATTTATTTATTCATTCATTTTTATTATTTTTTACACAAATCAAGTTTCAGTATTGTTTTTTTTTTTTAATTTTTAATTTTTGGATTAGAAACAAAAGGCATCCAATGTGCTAATATCCTCCTAATAAGGTTTTTTGTGAAACATAGTTATTTTTTTGTTATTTATTGAATTATTTATTCACACTGTAGATTTATAAAATTTTAATATATCTTTTTTCTATTCAAATCTAATCAACTTGCAGAAAATTTAAGATTTTCTCCATTATCTTGGTGGAGATTTTTTGTTGTCATATATATATATATATACATATATATTTTTTTTGTATTTTTTTTAACTTTTACATTATTTTGCAATATTCAATTAGGTTTGACCAATTTATTAATCACTCCATGGTTTCTTATTGAGAAAAAGTGTGTAACATTATATATTGTTTGTTCAACAACACAATCCTTAAAAAAGACAATTTTATTTATTTTTACTCTCTCAAACTTTTACAAAATCTCTTCATTAAAGATAATTTGTTTATGTAAGATTTTTTTTAAGGATTTACTATTTAGATATTGTGGCTATTTTAAAATATATAAATTATTATTAAATAAAAATGCATCTTGCTTAAGAAAACTTCCAAAATTTACATATTATTATCTTTAAACAAATTGTACTACAAAGGTAACTATGTTTGAAAGATGTATCTTATTTGACTATTTTTTCTACATATTCCATGGGATGCCATTTTGATATATAATCCATACAAGAATATCCTCTTTTCAAGATCTTATGCTAATATGTAGATTGTTTTAGTAGATTTTATTAACTTCTAATTTATTATTTTATTTAGAACAAGTGAAATTTGTAAAAGATATGTTGATTTTGCATTAGCTATATATTTTAATTTGGATGTGTATGCCATAATATTAAACCTTAGATTCTATTAAAATATTTAAAGATAAAATTTCTACCTCTTTAGTTATTCTAAAAAATAAAATTCTATCTCTATCATCTATGTACTTAGTTTTGACTCTTATAATCACGTTGACTATTTTTGCAATTTTTGCAATTTTTAACCTGGTTTAAGTTAATAAATACTACTTGTGATATTGTGAAAAGTTCTTACATATTTGTAAAAAAAAAAACTCATATCTTTATAAAGTTGATTATATTTTTGATGACACATATTAAGACTTCAATTCTAAAAAGAATTTTTTTGTCTTTTATATAAATCAAAAGTAGAATCCCAATTTTTACAAAGAAATCAAAAAAATCATAAAATATTGTAATATGTCTTATAAAAATATAGTCAACAAAAAAAATAGTAAATTATAAGTTTTGGAAAATACCATAGATACCCCTCAAATATGTTGAAATATCAAGAATATCCCTACATTCTTGATAATAGCAAATATACCCTTGAGTATCATAAGCTATCTCAAATCTAACAAAAGCCCCTAGATTCCATTACTATTTTTGTTTTATATGGGATACAAACCTCATGCCTTTATGATTTTTCTTTAATTTTTTGTTTTTCTTTTGCACTCTTGCGCAATTGTGGCTCTCTGATTTGACTCCATTTTATTTTTCATTTTTTTAAAATTCAATTAATATTGAACTTGCACATAAGGCATTTTATTATTCTTCAAATCTTTGATTTTTGATATAGCCCTTCTAAATTATATAACTTATTCTTTTTTAATTATATCATTTTTTTCATTTAAATAATTTATTTTTTAATTATTAGCATAAAAAATTTAAATTTTATTTGATAAAATACTTAACAGAAAAAAATATCTTATAGTTACTTAACATCTAGTAAATTTTCTAAAATTTTAATATGAATATATGTAGAAACACTTTAGAATTTACGTGGAATAAAATAATAATTTATAGTTTTTATTTCTTAATTATTTCATAATTTTTATGTATATGATATCAATTTGTTTTTTTATTACCTTAATTTTTTCAAGTATCTTGTTATCGTCTTTTATCTTCTATTTCATTCTATAGTATATATTAGATCCTTGATGTTTATAAATTTTAATGATTTTAATGATTATTTTAGCTTTTTTTGATATCTGATGAATCCAAAAAATTTGAAGGCTTTGCTCAAAGAGAGAACAAAACCTGTTTAAATTATTTTTTGCCATGTTAATTATCATCTAACACCTTTGAAGCATTTGATCTTTACAAAATTATTTATAAAACCTAAAAAAGAGTCTAAAGTTGATTTAAAAGTGTGTTCTTTAATTTTTTGTGGCCCAAATTTAGGAATTTAAAGAATTTTCTTAGATTTGATAAATATTATAAATTAAGTTTGTTAAAAGACATTATGGTGGCAAACAGTAAGTGAATAGAAAAATCAATAGGTCAATAATTAAACAATGCTAAATTTCTTGAAACTCAACATAATAAAATTTTATTAAAAATATGCCATATTAATAATATTAATGTAAATAAATCTATTTAAGGCCATGATGCCCCTCTACATCTATTGCAAGAATATTTTAGAAGTTAGAAGAATATTTTAGTTGAGGCTAAATTTCTTTTTCAAATACAATAATGCACTAAAATAATTCTACTTATTTTCTTTATCTCTTACTAATGTACTTTTCAGTTTAAAGATTCATTTTCTAAATTCTTTATTATAATGTTATATCCTCTAAAAAATCTATAGAAAATCTTCTTCTTCTTCTTCTTCTTCTTTTTTTTTTTTTTTTTTTTTTAAATTTTATTCTTTCCAGATTGTGTACCAATTTTTATATTTTTCTTAAATATATAAATTTGATACCTCAATTTTATTACTAACATACTTAAGAGATATTTACAGTTTCCTATTATCCATAAGAGATCTTATATTAATTATTAGGTGTTTAATATTTTAAAAAATAAAAATGCAAATCTTGATTATATTAGCCATGTTTGGATTCTTAATATAGTTAGGAATTACTTCTAAAATATAAGTAATTACAAGACTATAATAACTTCAGACCTCTAGCTCTTTTATTGCAAAGCAAATATTCTTTAAAAGATAATATATCACATGTAAGTTAAAAATTACTAATGTATCTATGCAACTATATAATCTTTAATAAAAAAAAATTACTTATAGATATCATAAGAAAAAAATAAAAGAAAAAAAATAAATACTTAAGAAGAAAGGGAAGAATAGAGAGAAAATAGAACCTTAGAGCTTGAATAAGTTGGCCTTTTAAAAAAATGTAAGTACTTCATCTAATGAGTGTTATCTTGGATGTTGTTGTTGTTGTTGTTGTTGTTGCATAAAGAATGAGATTTCAAAGATGAAATTTTATTACTATTATAATCTAGAAGATACTTATTTTAAGCAAGCAATTGAGATTTTTTTAAAATTAAATTAAAATTCTGTATAAGGAATTCTAACCATATGCATTAATATACTTAGTATTTTTTCTAAGATTTTGACTTTTTTAAATTGAGATACTACTACAACTGATATCATTGGAAGAATTTCCTTAATTTTCCAACTTTATTATAATTAAATAACATGAAAACTTGACCATGTTCACAATCAATTAAAATCTCATAGATTTTATTTGATCTATATCACATTTCTAACTATTAAATCATTGCCATGTTTGAATATAAGCAAGAAATAGAACTTGTGAATAATCAACAATTTTACAATCTCTTGATCTATATTTCTACTAATTAAATTAAAGAATTTATTTCACATAACTATTTAATTATGATTAAATATCATAGAACTTATTAGTCATATACTAATTAATAATCTATCTTCTTCTTCTAAAAAAATTAATTTTCTTTTGTTATTCATATTTTTTGTAGGTTATTTGCACAAATTATTTAGATCATCTTATGTTCTATAATGTACCTTCTTTCTTAATTTATTCTAAACTATTTCTTATTGTATATTTACCCTTAAAGCTAAAGTTTTAAATTCTTCATTTGTCTCTATATTTTACTATGTAATACATGTTGTTTTGTTATGTGCATTGGTCCTCTCTTTTACATAGGTGTTATATAGTAAAGAATGTATTGTCCATTTGGCCTATGTCACTCTTAATAGGGAGTCTATTTTTAGAATATTACATTAAATGATCTTAAAAAAATATATAATCTATTATAAATATTGATGTTTAATTAATGATCTATCTAGATGGATATAAGTTTTTTTAACATGTTTCTTTTGTCTCATTATCTGAACTTGTCATGTTAATTGGATTTTTTTTTTGTAACATATAATTATAATATTGATTGGATATATATAATTATTGTGACATACAATTATATCCTATTTTACAAGCACAATTGCATAAGCTTATTAATTTATCCATCTCTTTATTAGTAGATGATAAGATAGCATGGCAACCTTTGATAAAATACTTATTGATTATAAAATATATATTAATAGATATAAAATAAATTATTTAAATCTATTGATATATTTTGATAATAGAATTGTAACTAAGTTAGTTGCTATCTTCATTTTCAAGCCACCGTCACATTAAACTATAATGCAAAATATTGGTTCACCAACAATATAATTGTTTCAACTAATTTTTGGATATTTTAAAGAACTGGCTTTTACTTGTAAGGCTTCTTTCTAAGATTTTCCTTAAACATCTATTAAGGTTATCTATATAGATTGCAATCTATAAAGTAATCATTTTTATGATGATTTTTTTTCTAAATTGATTTAGGATTAAAATTTAGACCTATAAGTTAAAACACACATATTTCATATATTGTTTGGTATTATGGTTAAACAAGCACCTTGTACATCATTTCTTCTAAATTGATTTTTGCATAAGAATAGTGTTTTTTAATATTTTTACACATCACCAATTAACCTTCTACTATTTCTTTTAGATCACTTAGCCAAAATGAGAACTATTCTACTCCACAAGTATGATTGGATATAGGTTCTTATTATGACACACAATTATAATATTAGTATGATTGGATATATTTTTTTAGCAATAATAATAATAATAATATAGAAAAATATATGGTTTAAAAAAGTTCAAAGAAATTTTCTATCTTGGTTTCTATAGTTTTTATTTTTTAAGCTTATTAAACAAAACTATCAATAGTAGAATAATTTACTAACATCTATTGGAATTACACATATCTCTTTCAATGAATCTGTTAAAATTAGTTTTATTTATTTTAATTCCTATTTATGGGTTGACATAGATACATAAAAATTCATTATTTAAAAATTAATAATTTTCTTGAAAACTTAAATATGAATTAATGAATGAGTTAAAGCAATAAAAATATGTTTTACCACATGCATAAAATGCATAAAATTAATATATTCTAGTTATTTATGTAACCAACTTTGCTTCTGAAAATTCGTATTTAAAAAATTCATAAAATATTGTATCTAATGAAGCATTCAACAAAACAAACACTGGTCATAATTTAAAGTTATTTACAGTTATTTTACTTACATTGTATACAATTTTGTATATTTTGTACCATTTAATTTCTAATGTTATTACTTAAAGTTGTAAAATACTTGTGTTTTTTTAAAAAATATATTTATATATTGCAGTATTTTAAATTTAATAAGAATATAGATATATTTCAGCTTTTTATTATTTCCATTCCTATGTTATATATGGTCAATGTTTGAACAAAATGTTGATATTTCAAGTCAAAGCACATGGCCAAACATAAGTGATTTCATCCGTACATTTTAGTATGTGCATTTTTATTTCCATTTTAAATACATATGTGATGTTGATTGTGCATTGAACACTTTGTTTGCTAAAATTACCTATTACAATATCTTTACTTGCTTTTGTTGAAAATAGTGAAATGTATTTGGATATCAGCCATGAATTTTGAACTCAAGTTACCTGCAAAGTTGCTCACATGCATAAAATGATTGAATATGTGAGTAAAATTAGAAACAGACATGCAAACAAACAATAACTTAATATGTAATAATAACATCGAGTTCAAATTTCTTTACTGATGACTTATTGAATACAAGAGATATTACTGGTAGAATGCTTTGATTACAAATTTACAACAAATCATTGTTGTCTTGCCATTTGTATTAAATCAACATAAAGAAACACATAAAGTCAGAAAATATTATGTAGATATGTGTAACGTAGAATGTACCCAGAACATTCAATTTGATGATTGGATATGGAATCGGACACATGTTTATGGTCCAAGTATCGCAATCTCTTATACGATCATTTATATTCATGTACAGACTAATTTAAAGGACTAATCAACTCATGGCAAACCAATAATTTGTTTCACAAATGTGATGACCTTTTAAATATCATACTGGAACAAGTGTCCAAAAAATCTATGAAATAAAGGCAAGTATGGAGCATTCTCGTCGTATTCTCAGCTTGAGAATACGCTGAAAGGAGAAGGATGCACAGTATAATGAGTACCTTTCCTTCGATACCATCGTAAAAAACAAAATTGCTGTGTAAAGATCATCTCAAATATCACCACCCAAATCTGTACAAACTATTGTCCGTCTCTGCCGCTGATATGATGAAATGCACAATCCGTGCAGTTCAATTTCAAGACAAGAACCCCTTCAACTAGCATACCAGACACTGAAGTCACATGACAGCATTGGAGCTTCGCACTCCATATACATAAAGCCCCCTATACATAAGGCAACAACATACTGCATTGTCTTCACCTGATATCTCATCGCTGTTGTACGCGTTTGACAGCCTATCTACGTGCAAGAATCCAGCCAAGTGATTTGAGCATCTGTCACCAAAATACACAACCTCCTTCCCCTGGATGGTCCTCAACCTGAAGGTCAGCTAATCCTCTCCAGAAAAAGGTTTAAGCATGCCTTAGTCGAATTAGCACTGAAGTGTAACTGTGGCAGTAATGTTCATTCGTGAAAAAGAACTCGAGATCCTTCTGAAGCAGCTACATCATGAAGGGGTAGGATCAGCTCGAACAGATTCTTCAGAAACATCCTTGACAATTTCCCAGTTGTACTTTCGCCCATAACGATAAATTTCCAATAGCTGCAACCACGTCCACACAAAAACGATTGACTCATGTTTACTGTGTGAAGAAGTCAACCTTACAGCATATGGCATACAATACTTCCAACAAGGGAACATAAACACATGAAACACTTGAACTGCTCACACGTGCGCATAGACATAACTGAAGAATACCACAGAATTCCTTCACTAAGACCAAGAGATAATCAGCTCTAACATTGTACTATGGAATCTGTTGTAAAGAATACAAACCTTGTCATGAAATTCCCCTGCGGCCACCAATTGCTTGTATTTTTCATACAACCTAAGCGCCTGTAACATTTCAGAAGGTTAGACCTAAGAAATGCAAAAGAAGAAGGGGACGCAATATAAGCAAACAGTATGATCACAGCAGGGTCTGCACGTATAAAACAAAATATTCAAAGAACACTGCCCTTTTCATCGATGTTCTAGCTATGTTTTTACATGAAGCAGTGTTAACAGAGTAGAGTGTAAAACAAACCGTGCAAGCATCTTCAATGCTGTCATGCGTTTCATTTTGAATGTTAGTCTGCAAAACCAACCAAAATGCTCAAAATTCCCACGACGAATTTCTTATCAATCCAAGAAAGTTCTCTTCGAAACTTGAAAATAACTTGAACCAAACCAAAAAGGTACGGAAATTCTGCAAAATACCAAACACTTATGGCATACTAATGTGCATAATACGACTAGTACGCAGCTGAACTAAATACTGTATGATGAATTAAGGACATGAAAAAAAAAAAAAAAAAAAAAAAACTTACATTTAAGAGGTAAGAAGCCAAGAAACGCAAAGACAACATTCTTTGACGTTTAAGGTGGAAGAGCTCTACTGTATCGATTATCTGAAAGGGTTCAACCAACGCGCAATATCGTAGCAGCTCAAAATCGGGCATAATACAAGCCACTTCTGATACGTGTAAGTCATAGTACAAACTTCTCAATAAGCCCAGAAGAATGATAAAAAATTTATAAACAAAATAAGCATGAGACCTGTATCCACCAGGATCACAAGCAAGATCAGCGACTCGAGGACGTTACCTGAGCCTGTGGCACAACTATATTGATCATGCGAAAATCTTTTTTCAAACCATGGCCAACAAACCTGCAACCTTTGTCCACCTGCAGGAGCCAATTGTGGCAGTCACATCGAAAACCACTCAAACGATATTTGCAAAAATCCAAAAATTTCAAAATTCGAACAACTGCAATTCCAAAACAAGCTTCATTCTCATCACAATCGATAGAGCGCTGTGGATGGCGCACCAGGTAACGCAGTTTAACGTAAGCCTTTTTCAGGGTTGTAACAGGATGCTTAGATGTAGCGGGATCCTGCAGTCAAATCAAATATTTTAGCTCTAAATGATAGGACATGTGCACACATCCAATTTAACTAAGTCCAAAGATGGGCAAGGAAGTCCCTCATCAGGTACAGAAGCCCTAACGACTCACCAGATCACCCGGTGCAACTCCTGAGTAGCGTGTCAAGTAATCGTACACAGGCTCAACCTGCATGTAGTTCCCCGTTCAATCAACAGTTCTAATAATTTCTGATAGAGAGAGAACCTGCGTCAATCTGTTTTAGGACCCCTAAACAAGGTTGCTGAAGCTGTCCGGATCTAGATAAATGTATAAGAACATGCAAATCATTTCATCCTAATCTTAATAAATAAGAAGTACAATCGTCGCGTTCCACATACCGCACAAATGTAGTCGTCGATGCAGCAAACACCAGCTTTCAAACCTTCACCACGAACCTGTATATCATAGAATATCACAATCACACTTCAAGTGAATCGATCATTGCCTCGATATTAAAAGCATTAAAAATAAAAACTCATACAAATTCACTTACAAACAGCGACGGAGAAGAAAAGTAATAAAACATACCACACTAACTCGAGCTAGACCAAGGCGTGCAGGACGTTTCACGTATTCCACACCATCTTCGCGGATCCCCTACATAAATTTTTTCTAATGTTAACTATGTGCAAATACGAAACATGGCGCACGAAGTGATTTCAGTTTTACAGTGCTTCAGACTGGTACCCATACCTTCTCTGCAGGGGCAAGAGCCACAAACTCTGCATCTAATCCCAATAGCATCCTCTGAGAATACAAATTACAAGGGTCAAATTTAGAGTTTCAAGTAGTAAAAAGCTCAAATGGAAAAGAGAACAAGTGAAATTTGCGATAGAATGGACATGAAGTGCACACTCGACTAACCCAGAAGATAGTCTTTTCTAATTCTTTCACACTATGTGTTAGAAGATCTAGACCAATCATAAAAAAAATAAATAAATAAATAAACTGATGGTGAACTACTATGTTCTACGATCCTGCTATAGGCTTCAACAAACATGAATTGGGAATACTAAAACGTCTACTCCCAAGTATTTGAACAGAAGATGGAAAATCATCACATACAGACCATCATTTCTTGTAAATTTTGAAGCGCAAACCAAATTCCGGTCCAAATCCTTAACCATGAAACAATACATGTTCGAAGTGTTTATCTTACAGGCTTAGGAAATTCCGTGGTCATGTCAAAAGGTAGAAATGTAGTATACGGATTGGACACTGCCGCCGGTGAATCTAGTGAGGCCCTGGTCTCCAAAATAAGACGCTTGAAGATTTCATCAGAGATGGGAGTTCCGTGACTTCTCCCCTGTCGTAGAAAATACAACATCGAAGTGAGACAACACAACTTTCAGGAAGAAAAGGAGGACTATTCTATATGAAAAGAAATAGAAATCGACGGTAAAATTGCTTAACAACTGACAATGTTCAGAGAACTATGATGCTTTTCTCAAAGATCATTATCTCTATACAGAAAGAAGAGCAAATACCAACAAGATGCAATTATAATACTATGTGTTTTAAAAGCGCGTGTCGCATTCCAATACTACACATGCTATCGAATGGTTTAAGTGAATTTTAAATACACATCAAAATGAAAGTGTTGATACAAAAACCTGAAATCCTGCAGGACTAGGTTGAATGGTAAGTGAGCCAGCCGGTAAACTCTGAGTTGTATGATTACTGCTGTCCACAACTGGTTCCTTGACTCGAGAGAAGTAAAGCAAGCAGGGCACCTTTTGTTTACCATAAAGGGTCACCTGAAAAGAATGCCACACAACAATTGTTATTACCTCCATTGTTTAAGCGAAGAAACACCCAAAGCAAGATTCAGACAGATCATAGTGATGAGAATAATATCCAGGTTAAAGGGTTCACAACCGAATTGCTCTACAAATTCTGTATCTTCCAGAATTCATGTCTCAAAATCCTGAAAGATAAAATATGCTTGAAGGATTGAACATCACAATTTCACCATTCCCCACAAGACCGAAATCACCACAAAAATAAGCTCGCGCCTGACACACATTGCAAGTCAGGACTTCGGTATGATACCACATCTGATGCGGACGTAGGAGCAATGCAGAAGTCGTTAAATAGAACCCAGTCTGATGTTGTTGAAGCTCCTCCCAACCCTACTGGAGTGGGCTCAAGCTGCAATTTACTAAAAGCTGTTGAGGAGTTCACACCTGAGAAACACGTGATTCACAAACTCCAGGTTCGTTAAATAGAATCCAACGATCTTCCTCAGTTTCATCTTAGACACTTAAAGAATCTGATCCCTCTTCGAAATGTAAAAAGCTGGAGTAGAAAAGAAATGCAGTACTCATCCACATTAAACTAGTTCAAGATAGTTACAAACTTTTGCACTAGGGCAACCATGGGAATAATAGCTGAACAGATTTAATATGTACTCTGCGAAACCAAATCAGCAATTACACTAAGTGACACTACGGCAAGTAGAGGATACCTGGCCCAGGTGATGATAAACTGATACCTCCGTAGGAATCCGAATACGAAGAAGGGATCTGCAATCAGTAACGTATATCAATAATCCTCTCCCAAAAAGAGACCATATACCCTTATCAAGAGAAACATCGACGACATGAAATCACGTCTTCAAGCTGACAAACAAACTGGGCATCAAAGCGAAAGAGTCATAAAATTCAAAATATTAACATATGCAGTAAGAGTTTTCACCTTAATATGAGCCACAAGATGTCCTTCACTTTCTTCCTGGAAGAGCTTGCCCTTATCAAACTCATCATGTACATGTGCGACCATAGCAGTCAGCTCATATACTGCACGAGTAGAGGTAGTTGTCTCAGCTGACTCAGCAACCACAGACTCTTTGCTTTTGCCCACGTCTTTACTATCTTCTGTGCCGCCCTGAAAAAAATCCAGCCATCAAAGCCAAACATCAAAACCTTACAACTAGTCCACTTTACAAGATGATTCTGTCTGCATTTCGGTACAAAGTAATAGGACGAATGTGAAAAATGAGAAGGAAAAACTAGCTGGTGACGTTACAAAATTTAGGATAAAATTATAATAAGTAAAGCACTATTTAGTAGCAGAGGATAAGATGAACAGCCAGTTCTAGAGTTGACATACCTCTGTGACAGTTACAGAGGATGCAGCAGGATCAACAGCAATCTCCACCCGAAATGGTAGCCAGTTGCTACGCACAACTTGACCTCCAGAGCTTGTAGAATTGGAGCCATTATTAGAGATGCCAGTCTTTCCGGAGTCTGAGGTCGGTGGGTAGTCTCCATCGGCAAACCAGTAGTACAAGTCTGCCTCCCTTTGTATACAGCAATTTACAATCAAGATTTCAGGTAAACTGCATGGAAATCGGGTCTGCAAAGCCACTTCAAGGATTAGTCCTGCGAAACAGAAAGTGGCATTTCACTCTACCAAAAGATCCTTAACCTGTCACGAGCTACAAGCCAACACTCAGAAGGCGGTTACGTGCAACGCGCTTGGAATTTCTAACCTGCTGAAGGGAGACATAAGCACGACAATGAGGGCACCACGCTCGCATATCTTCTTGCTTGCAGAGACTATTCTGCAGCAATTCCGCAAACGATGGACGTACTGAATTCGGCTTGCCTGCTGGGTACTGGCCATCAATCCACACCCACAATTTTTCAGTTCAAAAACAAGAATTCAAAGTGGCCAAAATTGGCAATGCCATATATTCAAACGCTGAAATTGCTGGCAGGAACATATCTCTTACAATTAAACCACAGAAGTTTGTGTCCAAGATGTCAGCATTTGGACAAGAACGAACCTGCAAATCCACTTGAAAGGACAGGCGCTCTTGGACTACATCCTCATGAGATGTACCTCGACACTGCGATAGCACCACCCATCAAAAAGTAGTCGTGATTTATAAATTACACAACAAAGGCTTCCAATAGCTACTTGACTGACAAGGCAGCGACACAACAAAGTGATACATATGACGTCTTTCATCTAGACTAGAATGTGAAGAACTTTAGCATTGAGGCTCTCTAATTCTTCACAGTTTGTTTTTGCAACCAGAGGTTAGCACTGCTGATATCAATATTCAAGAGAACTATCAGGCTAATGTTGTGACTACCACCTTACCTATTTGGAGTTAACAAAATCATACACTAACTGTGCACCTCGCGAAAAGATGATCACGAAGTATTTTAGAGCAAACAAATTGTCGCAGAGCACCTCGAAAAACAATTACGAACCTTGCTATGGACATGTATCACCATGCCAAAGAGTTGGTTACTGATTGACGGCAGTGGCGAAGGTACTTCAGGGTCCATCGAACCAGCTCCTTCTTTGTGAATCTACATCAATATCTCGATGTCTTAAATTTTCTTTTTGAGGAGGATTGCATTTTTCATATTACAGTAACTAAACTCGTTATGGCTTTAGAAGCAGGCATGTATAGAAAGGAATAATAAAATGCAGATATTACGAGATAATTCTACATGTACAATACTAGTCAATGATTCAGCCATAGCTCCAAGACTTTAAAGGTTAGCATGTCGACTGTTAGTAACTTTAGATAATCTAAGTACCTGCTCAAGTAGAAAACGACTGAAGCTCTGGATCCGTTTTGCAAGAGACTTTTCCTTACTATTTTCCCACTCTTCAGGACCCTCGACTAATCCCAGTGCTGCTGCCTCCTTAATCTGACGCAGTGCTCGTAGTAAATTGCTTGGCTGGAACAAAAGTTATAGGCTTAGATGGTCGTTACCAAATCAGATTGCGGTTGACCACCAAAACTCATACCACAACGGAAAATAAATTGCTGCTATGTTAGCTTAATTTCTTTAGCATTTTCCGAACTCTGCTCTAATTAAAGTTGCATAAACAACATTCGAGTATTTGCAAAGCTAGCTATTGCTCAAGTACCTGGCAGGTGCCACCTTGTGCGACATCCAGCATATGGAGGACAAATCCAAGTTCACAAGTGAGACAGAATTCTCGTTCACAAACATGAGAAGTAACTGCTGCTTGTAATGCAGGGATAAAATAAAGTACCTGCAACCCAATTAGCAAACAAGATGAATCCATCAAATTATCAATGAATAATCTCAACCAGAAAGACTCAATTATTACCTAGAAAAAAACTTGACAAGAAAGTAGAAGCCAGACAAAGAGAAAGAAAGGCGTAGTTGTTATTACGTAATATATACTTCCAGCAACAGAGAAGAAGCAAGAAAAGAGGACCAACTCCCGACAAATGATACGTACTTGAAAATGTTAAGCATTATTAGAGATAGCAATTCGCGTAATCATGCTGAAATTGTAATTTGTATACTTTATCAAAATGCCAGCGTCATGTCACACAAAAACGTCATGTTTCTTTTACGTCTTGCTCAGAAGCCTCACACATTTCAAGATGTCACCATGGTAAAGCGGAAGATAAAGAGGCAAGAGGTCGATGAGCATGATGATTACAGACAAGTCTCACCTGCAGAAGTGCATTGCAGTAGCTGTTGACAATATCATTTTCCAAGCCAGCGAAACGGGTCTTATTATAGTAACTGAAGTCAAATTCTTCGTATTTAAGCTTATATTGAGATTGCTTGATTTCCACTCGCCTGTACGTCTTGGGAAGCCAACTCTGTCCGGATTTAGTTGTTACTTTAGTGGTAAATACTGAGACACCAGGGCGTTGCACCGGAGTACTTTGAGGTTTGACGTCTATCTGAATGAGTCAGAAAGAGAGATACTAGTTAGTGAGGAAGTCCATTTGCACTTGACTGCCTGAGAAATTCACTGCTTGTCGGTCAATACGCCTAATAGCAGGCATCATCGTGACAGGATTTCAATCCATAAAAAAGCTGCGGTTATTAAAACAATAAAAGAGTCTACACCATGTTCACTCTCGCCTAGTAGACGTCTGCATCTGCAAGTATAGCAATCTCGAGCAGAAATAACAAGACAAGGAGTGGGTCAAGAAGAAGCAACCACCAATCTGGTGCTCAACAGCTGGCACATTCCACTATACCATGTAAGGTTATAATCTAGACGTAGGCGCAAATCACCTGAAGATAAAGAGTTAAATAAAGAAAACACATCGAGCTGTGAAGAACTCCATACCTTGGGCGTTTGACGCAAATTTCGGATGCCAGCAACTGCTCTTGATGCAGAGCCCTGAGATGATCCCCGCCGCCAATAGGGGTTTGGCACATAACCAACAAAATCATGAGCGTTCATCTGCTCTAACAGATGTTTCCCCACTATCCTTGGTGGAAGACCAACACGAATAGGAGTAGACATGTCCATTGCAGAAAATGGGACATCGGTTGTAGCAGGCAAAAAAACATCGCTGAAAGACTCTAGCTCACAGACGTGGTTCTCCGCCAATGGCTGTACGATATCTGGAAGCTGCATACCAGTAAAATTTTGTTTGATACATTGCGGAGTTTGCTGTAATTACTGTAGTGGGCGACACAAAAGTTTTGAAGCTTCTTTAATTTGCAATAACCTCGAATGCACCAAGATTTCAAAAGCATGAGAAAGTCGTGCAACAGACGAGACTACCTCTAACAAAGAAGTCCCTTTTCAAAGTTCAGCAACTCCAGAAAAAACGCAGTGCCACACTGGATGGATGAGCAATTCGGCCTCAAAACAAATGTGATTCATACACATCCAAGTCTTCTTTATTCATCCTGCACCGTTTATCACCAGTGCCCGGGAATTGGGAACTTGAGATACATGAAATGTGCAAGTTTGTTTTGATGATCGTTATAGTGTGTTCATGGTTACCTCAACCCAATTAAGCTTTGCATCCATGCGCACAGATTTCACTGACGTTCCTTTAATTAGAGAAAAAGTCCGTGACAGATCGCCCAATTAGCACTATCATGTGCAATGCCACTGAGTGAGAATGTCATGCCCACAACTTGACGGATATTCAGATACAATGCCAGATGATTGAATACTTGCTTGGAAGTCGAGAGATACCTCTGTTGGGAGAGAATGTAAGTTGACAAGATCATGTTCTGAAGCTCCCCAAACATGGACGTATCCTCCTGAATCTCCAAATGCCAACAGCTCCCCGGAACTTGACACGTCTGTTGAAAGCAAGTGGTCTGATTCACAGTCTACCTGAAATAGACACAACAAAGCATCAATATTGATATTGGTGATTCAAATTACTCTTCTTCAGGTCAAGAGAATATACACATACAACAACAACAACAACAACAACAACAGAAGGTACTCAAAATACGTGGTAATACTAACTTCTCAACGGGTATTTATGTCAAATAAAGAATAATGAAGGATTACGCCCGTTAGGAAGTCCTCGATTTCTTCAAGGATGTTCTTGCAGCATGTTCTACCTGATAAGATTGAACATCAGCTCCAACACCTTGGACATCGGTGAGGAGTATTGCACCACTCGCTGAAGTAGCCAAAACTATACTGGAAAATTTCGGCTGAAATCGCAATATAGTAGCACCAGGAGAAAATGGGATATGTGAAAGAGGGCGCGCTTGTTGCCGAATGTCAAAAACCTGAGGAGCAAAGCAAGAGCTTTGGTTTGTCAATACACAAGTCAGGCCCTGATTGAATTAAAGATGATCACGATGATATTTTCCATTGAGAACAATGATGAATCTTCTTCATGCATTACTATGACACTTTCATCGTTGTTCCCTGCTTGACATCATATTTCCGAAAATTTGAACAAATCCCCACTAAATCTTAAAAAGGAAAGAAAGATCAACCTTGATAACAGCCTCACAATATATACGACCCATCCGCCGCGTGAGTCCACACGATACAAGCAGATCGCCTTTCAAATCTAATGAAGAAACTTTTCCTGGAAAAGACGACCACCCTTCCAGATTGTAAATTGCGTTCGGATATACCTAACAATTCATGACGCGTAGAAATTGTGCCCCTCATAGCAGAGACGCTGATTCACAGCCTCCCACAACAAGGACCTTTGAGAACAAAAAAAATGCAAAATGACAAGAGGCATAAGAGGTGATATCCATACCTGGATGAGCATCAATTGTGTGCTCAGTTTTCATGGTACGAAAGTCTTTCAATATGATGTCACCACCCATGCCCCCACATGCAACAAGTCTACCATTGCTACGCATTACAGCTATATCTTGCCCCACTACAACCTGAAATTCGCCAAAAAAATAAGAATATCTTCATATTCGATTTGAATAATATATATAACAGATGGAGAATCCAATCATCTTGGAAGACAATTATAACGTTGATGAGAAACTTGAATTGGCTGCCCATGACTAAATTTCTTGGAATATCTGATTTACAAAAACCGGCTGCAAGGTGAGATTGACCTATTGGAATGGCAATTACTAACCGATGATGCGATATACGCAGTCGACAGATCAAGAACTGATAATCTTGAGCCTGAGTGGCCAATAAGTACACGACCAGCTCCAGGACGCTCCCAGTCACAACATGTTATGCCCAAGACATCATCATCTCTGCTGTGTGACAAGTGCAGGTAAATACTTGACATTTAAATGCTGCAAGTTCCAGACAGAAAAGACCTTGACAAATCACAAGCACGTACATGCTCCTTGATAATTCGACTGGGTCGGTAAGTTGGAGATACGTTGTGACCAATAGGACAAAAAAAAAATTTCATCGAAACAAGGCTTTAATGCTAGTTCTCAACATATTCTAGAATTATAAATTTTAAAAATTAAAAAATTAAAAAGTCATTGAAAGTAGATTAATTATTTTAGGTATTACCAAAAAGAAATTAATCGTCAACACGAACCTGGAAGGTATCCAAAACAATTGCGGTCCAGAAGAGTATCAATTCGACTACGTAAAAATGTAAGCGCCACTAACGTTTCGAATGTAAATTACAGAGCATATAAATCAAGCCACCTGAATGACATCAAAGAGACGCCTCCTCTTGTGTGCATACGAACATATTCAGAACTGACAGATAAAATGCCTTCCGCTGCTCCAAGCAGACCCACCACAGCTGAGGGGTGCGCTCCGAAAAAACTGTACTTGTCCAAAGTAGGACATATGAACGAATGCAGTGAGCCCTGTTTCAAACCCAAACCCCAAATGAAGATGAGTCCTGTCTCAGTGCAGCAACTACATTCAAACGCGCCACATCGCTGACCCTCACCATCATTACTCAACGTATCCAAGCTATTTGTAGCTAAGATCTGGCAGCATTCGAAAAAGTCTGATGGGCTGCACCTAATTCAATACATCAAGTTGCCCTAACAGAGATACTTGTGAAGTTGGTCAAAAGGAGGGAGTAAGAGACAAGTATTCTTTTAGTTCAAAAAAACCAACGTCTAGTAAGAAGCAAACAAATATACGTCAAAATTCGCCACATAACGTGCCAATTCGCACGCTCCAGATACCAACACCACACGATTCCTTCGTCAAATATTCAAAAAAGTCCAATTCAAAGAATGCAATGCTTCGGATAGGGTGAGAGAATGAGCTATCTTACAGCAGAAGAGGCTGTCCACAGAAGATCCAAAAGCGGATCAAAGAGGGTACAACAGACGGGTTCATTGGCACGCTGCTGAGTGACGTACGCCAACTCTCTAAGCTTAGCACGTACCATCGTTACGTATCCACAAACTACCTTTAGCAAATTTCCAAACCTCTATTACCTTAGCAAGATTATCTCATCGGACCATGTCGTTTTACATTGTACCTCTCGCGATTCTCAATTCCTCTACGCCTATCTTAATCCTACCCCGTGCGTCGGGTACGCCCATCCTCATCCGCGATGAATTCCACCTACTCGATTTCCCACCGCCGCAAATAAGCACAACGTAACGCTACCACCGATCCTTGTCCAAACCATCACTCCTCCGCATCGATAAACAAACACACACTCAACACAATTACAATCCTCTACTGCATTCACCAGCTGCCGAAGACAAAATCAATGCATTCTAACTGTTCATGAGCAAGCAAGTCTCCACTAGGAAAAGTTTTCCGAATCGCACGAACCATCTACTTCCGCACAACCCTAACCCGACCAACCAACCAAGCATGTATCACTTGCAATTCCAACAATCGTGGCGGAGACAGCCAGCAAGACCTCCAGAAAGCATGCAGTGCCTGGGAGGAGGGGGGGCACGGAAATAACGCGGCCAGCAATCGGGAGAGGGGAGAAAATCGACGCGAAGACGAGGCGCTACGAGGATGATGGCGGGATGGCGAAGAATCACGACTACGATGCCTCCCTGTCTCGGCCGACCCCGCCCCTGGGAACTCACTCTTCCGCTCCCCTTCCCGTTCTCTGCGTTCTCGTGTGGGCCCCTTTTGGCACTACGACCGTTCCTCGCGGAATCTGTCTCGTCGGTGTGGCACTCTGTATTCAGTTCGATTTGTGTGGATGTGGATGTGTATTTTTCATCCATGTGTTCATCATAGCGTGTTCATCGTTTACAAGCTGGACTACAGCATTTTGGGGTGAATTTGAGGAAATGCTCACCCTGAACCTTCTAATCTTTACATTTTTTTCATTCTTTTTATTTTATTATAAAATCATCAGTGTTATTCGTGACCTCTGAATCACAATTACCAAAACTGGTTCTGTTTGCATTATGTAACAAATTTTGCATATTTTATTTATTCATGTGATTTTATTGAAAGATATTTACCTTGTTGAGTGGAGTATGTGAGATGAACAAAGAAGAGAAAAACGGGTAGTATAGGATTCATTTTTTAAAAAATATTGATAAACTTAATAGACTATTCATGAAAAAATTATCATACCTTAAATTTCTCCCATATATATATACTCTTGGTTTGGGATTTTATTAATAATAAATTAAGCTTGTGCATAGACTAGTCTAACTTAACATCAAACAATATTTAAAAAAAGAAAAGAAAAGAAAAGAAAACTACCGAAAGCTTGTGACATGTTTGATAAAGACGGTCTTCTACTGGATAAATAAACAGACAAACAAACAGACAAACAAACAAAGCTGTAGTACTCAATAAACACACACAGAATTGTACATGTGTTCATGTTGGTTTTGTTTCTATTATTTTTTATTCCAAAACTCAATATGTTTTTCTTAAGTGGCATTGCACAAAGAATATTCTAAATAAAAAATAAGTAAATTAGGGTTGTTATTACTCGACAATTATAGTAATGAAAACCTTTTAAAGCCACCCCCCTAACCTCACAGACCAACTGTTTTCACTATGTTAATACCCACGTCATTTTTTCCCAATAACGGATGTGTGTGTATGTGTTTTTTGTGTGTGTGGTTGTTTTTTTGTTTGTTTTTAAATTTACACAATGGATACCTTCCATATTTCTGGAGTAAGGTCCCCTGCCCTGCCCTGTCCTGCCCTGAGCTTTTTCGGAGCGACGAATCCACGATGCAGCGGGCATTACACCACAGTCACGAGTCCAGGGGGATGAGTATGTCCCAACAGGTCGAGGACGAGGTTGTAGAGAAGTGGTATTTCTAGGGAGAAGAATTATCCATTGCCGACACTCGTAAAGCAGCTGTTGTGCGTTAGGGTTTGATCACGTTCCCTAAATCTGTCACTTGCTACACGTCGCTATCCATCGCAAAACGCCATTTCTAGACGCATCCGCAAGCATTGGAGCCGGACTGCGCGTTCGTTAGGCAGGCTTTACTTGGAAGGGTTTGGGGTGCTGATTGTGGAGGACGGGGGTAGGGATGGCAGACGACGAAGGGTATGAGTATGGCCACTCACCTTCGCATCGCTCCTACAATGGCGATTACGATTCCGCGGAGCGCAATGGCGAGAAGAGACGTGAGGTAATTCGTCGATATATTTGCATATAAATAAACAAATATATATATTTTCACACACACACACTGGTTCCTCTTCTTTTTCCCGGAAGCAATGTGTCGCGTTGTATTAGGTGGTGTTTTAGAGTTCTGTTGATGCGCAACGGGAGTCGAAACTCGGTGTCGGTGGATTCGTGGTCGTGGTCCTGCGGAAACGTAGTGCGTTGCATCCGAGGGGATCCCCTCCCGTGGTGCTTGGGTCACCTGTTTTACTTGCGTTGCGATATTTTGTTTCTTTTCTCCGTTACTCACGACAATTGGGCCTTCGAGCGGTATGGGTATGCTTCAGAATCGATTAGCGAATTCTGCAGCTGATCTAGTACAATCTGTTTTTACATGTACACCATGGAAGCTAGAGTTTAGGATACTTTGGTCGTGTATGAATTCTTGGTTCTATCCCTCAATCAAATGCTGATTTGGCGTGGTGTCTCTTGATTGACGTGCAGTCTGTTCACGTGAAAATTGGGTCCGTCATGCTGTGTGACGAAGTGTGGAAAAGCCGCGAAACGTTTCCATTCCATGTTCGCAACATTCATTGTCTTACTTGTTCACTCTGAAATGCATTTTTTTAGGTGGTAGGATCTACAAGCTAGGTGACGAAAACTCCCGAAAGTACAGCGTCTTTCTGTCTGAGTTAGAGTTAATTTTTGTGCGATTCCGCAATTTGTTGCCTTTGGTGTGTCCTTCATGGACGCATAGTCACAGAAGAATTCCGGTTATTAAGCACTACTGTTGAGAAAGGGTTTTCGGAGGTATATTGCTTCCTCTACCTCAACGACTGTTCCGATGATCACTTTGTCGATGTCTCCATCACCTCAATGCTTGAATAGGATGGTAAACCTGGTGTAAGGTGTCACAGTTAAGTGAACTGTACTCGTACAGCCTTTGAGAATGACACCGAATTCTGGTGTCGAGCACTATCGGTTGGGGCCTGTCGATAACCTGTCAAACCTGAAGATGTTACTATTCGGTACTCCATCCTGAATTCAATGAATGCTTTTTTACAGTGGGCATTGTACAGTTTGGGACCGAGCTAGGGGGTCTACCCTCACCTTCCACTGTCAGAATAGTTGTGCTTGTGAAATGGTTTGGTCGCATTGTTCATGGTCCAGTTGCACTAGCTACTTCTGCGTAGACACCGCTTGGTCATGGATTTAGAGGGTCTTACTTCGCCACTTCGTTGAGTATGTGTTTTTGTTGCAGCGTGCCTCTCGAGAATCTGACAGGAATGGAGAGAGCAGCCGAGACAGAGACCGGGACAGGGGCAAAGATCGTCGCTACAGGGATTTGGATGTGGATCGAGAAAGGGACAGAGACAGGGACAGAGACAGGGATCGTGAACGTCATCGTAGCCATGATCGAGATAGGTGAGCTTTCCAGTAATTTTTTATTCGTCATCATCGCAAATCGTCCCCACTTCCTCCCTTGGAAGAACTATCACGTTTCTGGATCTTAAACTTCCGAGCTTGGCCAATATATTGTTCAATTGACGTCAAATCGTACTGTGAATGCAGACGTAGTCGTGAGTATGACCGAGACAGGAGGCATCGGCATCGTTCTCGATCCACTTCCCGGGGAAGATCAAGGGGCTTATCCAGATCTAGATCTTGTTCAAGATCTCCGTCTCGTTCAAGAAGGTTCGCTCTAGTAGTCATTAGTTGCTGTTTTGTAGATTTGAAGGTTTTAGCGAACTTGGGCATCAATATGCTATGAGCTTTGTGACCCCTTGTGATGCGGTGGGTTAAACAATCAACTTGTAATTTTTCTAGCATTTAGATTGGAGTTGTTTGGATGGCATTTGCCATTGTGCTGGAAATGGAGATTTTTCCCTCTACATGATATTGTTTGCGAGGTGGATGGGAGGTGATCGCGGGACTGAGCTACAGCTTTAACGGAAAGTTTGGTTTCTTTTTGTAGGAAACAAAGTGGATTCGACATGGCCCCACCGGGTGCAGCCGTTGTTTCAGGAGCTGCATTAGCAGGTTTGTATGACCGTCATGATGATGTGACTTTCCTGTGATACCCACCACCTCAACCGTGGAAAACCTTGTGTGTAGGTTCATATGAATTCGAGTGTCACATACTTTTACAATTCTACTATGCTCTGTCTTTTGCATCATCTAATATATACTTGTACTTCTAGAAATATCACCTGTTGTATTTCTTTAGCTTGTAGATTGTTATCCGCTTTATATTATTTCTTCTTCTCTGTTAAAATTGGTGAGCATTGTCAAACAGATTTTCGATTTGAAACTGAGGAAGTCTCTGTTCTTGTGTTTTCTTGTTGTTTCCTTGTTTGTTTGTCTGTGGTTATTTTTGTATGCTTCGTGGATGCGAAGGCATCAATCGAGCCCTGTGCCCTCTCCACGATGCGCATAGAGTGCCTGCTAAGGTGTGATTTATCGACAAGGAAGTTATGGATTACCTTGGTGTTGGTTAATATTTGCTACTTCAGTGCCTGTGAGCAAATGTCTTGTTGGTTCTCGATCTATGTATTTAAAATAAGATCACACATCTTGTATTTAATAGTTGTCATTTGAGAACCTACGTAATTTTAGTGAAAGTGATTCTGAACATCAGTGGTTACAACATCCATATTTTATTTTTCTATAAAATGTTCATTTTTGATTTTTTGACTTTTTACTTCAATACCATAAATGTTTTTGAAGTATGTCCATGTGTTCGAACCTTGTTGTAGTGTATGCCCTTGTACGTTAACTTTAATTTCTTCTGATAAAGATTGAATGTAATCTTTAAATCTATAACGTGACCACATTTTAACAGCACCTGGACTAGTCTACTTGGTTGTGTTTTAATCTTTGTCTGTTTTTGTAGTCGGATCAAAGAATTTTATGCCTTTAGTAGGCGTCCGTGTAGTCTCATGAAGCTTTGTTACGGCTTTCAGGTCAAATTCCTGGGATCGCACAGCCTATGCCCGGAGTATATCCAGGAATGTTTCCCTTTGGAGGAACACAGGTATTTGGTGTTTACTTATTTCATGTAGGATTTTCAATTTATCGGTTTCAGTAAGGCGGATAGACGTTTGTCGAGTTGAGGCCTCTAGGCCATATTGTAACAAGAATAGTTTGGTGGTCAAGCAGTTTGGAGGTATTCCTGGAATGCCAGCACAAGCCATGACTCAACAGGTGATGATGATTTCTACTGACTGACCTTCATGTGCCAAGCTGAATCAGACGTAGTGGCTGAGAAGGGTCCTTGCTTTTCTAGGTTTAATGGTACGAGAAAGCTATTTAGGATGGAAGGTTCACTGAAAGGTTCACGTAAATGTACGTGCAGCTGATGTCATGAATATTTACCTTGCAGGCTACGAGGCATGCTCGTCGGGTGTATGTTGGCGGCCTACCACCTCTGGCGAATGAACAAGTGCGTAAAATATCCTCTTTAGAGCGCATAGACAGCCTCAACTTTATTGACCACGTCATTACAGTTGCTCTGCGTTTGCTCTTTGTTACAAATGTTATATATATATATATGCCCATTATTATTAAATACCTGCTATTAAGACCTCTCTTTGCTGTTACGGTGGGCTTTTGAGGTTTTAGTTTGGTGGTTGAAGTTTACACCCGGTACATGAAAATGTGAACTTATGGGTTTTTCTGGTATATTATAAATAGACATATAAACATGTAAAAGGAATTTGAAAGATTTTAGTAGTTTGGGGTTCCGCCGAGACCATTATGTTGTCTGCATTAGCTTTGGTATTCAATAGTTGATGGTGGCGGTGTGGTGCTGCACAGACAATTGCGACTTACTTTAGTCAGGTGATGGCTGCTGTTGGAGGCAACACTGCTGGTCCAGGTACATAGCTTGTACAGTACTTGTTTCGTTGTTCGATTGACCTTTATAATTCTCGAATTGGTTTAACACTGGTTGTCAGCAGGGTATTAGTCAAAATGGGGCCCCAGATCACGTCAATCATTCCGCTGTTGCGTGCTAATGTGCCGATGGTCATTATGGTTTGGCTTAGGTGATGCCGTTGTGAACGTGTACATCAACCAAGAAAAGAAATTTGCATTCGTTGAGATGCGAACCGTTGAGGAAGCCAGCAATGCTATGGCTTTAGATGGCATCATGTTTGAGGTTTGTTCCTGTGCTATGTGGTCACTTTGCTGTTGGCATTTAAGTGACTTCTGGTAAATGTCCTTAAAGTTCCTTCTGCATCGGGTTGGTGCTGTTTCATCAGCCCACCCATTCTACAGCACTGTTATTCTATGCTGGCTGGAGTAGGGATTTTTTTGTGACATCGCCAAAGAGAGTGTTCCTAACTGTACTTGTGCATGGCTCTTCTAGGCTCTATATTAATATTAATGCGAATCCGTTGAAATTGAAATCTAACATGGTTTCCCTCTCTGTTTCTTAGGGTGTGTCTGTTCGTGTTAGGAGGCCAAGTGATTACAATCCATCTATGGCTGCCACTCTTGGCCCAAGTCAACCTAGTCCTCATCTAAATTTGGCTGCGGTTGGGCTTACTCCTGGGTAAGTTGTTTATGAAAACTTTGCAAATTTGAAATCTTAGTACTTTTCCTTGGAAGGGTCTTGTGACTTTTTCTATGTGCAAATGGTAGCTACTAATTTCATGTCTTCTGATTGATCATCTGAAGAATCCTATCGGGACTTCTTGTGTTTTTTATTTTCTTTATTTCTCAATCTCGTTTTAGCTATACATCTTAGGTCGTCCCTCAGATCTTTAGATCTCTCGCAAAGATGTGTAGATCTGTTTATTGTTCAACTTCCACCTTGTGACGCAAAAGGCATGTAATAAGTGCTGGTGATATTTGCAGGAATGCCGCTGGAGGTGCGGATGGACCTGATCGGATCTTTGTTGGAGGCTTGCCTTATTATTTGACAGAGATTCAAATTAAGGAGTTGCTCGAGTCTTTTGGGTAAGGAACGGCTTACATTTGAAACATGGGCATGAAATCTATACAACCATTTCGTTGATGTTGAATGCTTTAAGGTTTTCGAACGTGATAAAGCTATCCACCACCTTAGCGAGGTTTTTATCTAATTTAAGGTTTCTTGAACTCCAGGCCTTTGCGAGGTTTTGATCTTGTCAAAGACCGGGACACAGGCAACTCTAAAGGATATGGTTTCTGTGTATATCAGGTATGCATGCTTCGGACATAGTTGAATTTTACATTGCCTTTAGCTGAACTGTTTTATGCTGAAGAATAATGCGTGTTGACAGCTTGAGAGTCAGACCTTCTGCTTGTCCATACGATTTGCTTCTGACCACAGACGTTGCGATTGGAGAGTAGAGCGATGATAATCTTTGAAGTTTCTTCAAAGCCGAAGCTATGATGCTGATCTTGGTTAACCTGTGAGCTGTGAAAAATCATTTATCTCGCAGGATCCAGCTGTTACAGATGTTGCTATTGCTGCACTTAATGGGTTGAAAATGGGTGACAAGACTTTAAGCGTGCGTCGTGCTTCTGCCAGGTAGCGAATTTTTTTTAATCTTTCTCACCCTATCCGTCTGTATGGCTGTGTGCCTCGTTCCCTTCCCTTTCACAGGACCCATCAGTTGTGGATATTGCCTGTGCAACGCTTAATGGCATGAAAATGGATGACAAGACATTAAACGTTCGTCGGGCCACTGCAAGGTTGGCTCGAGTCCACTTACACGTCAAGGAAATAAGTCTTATTCTTGCGACAGTCGACCTAACCTTCACAAGAAGACATTTTTTAACCAAGTTACTCTCTAATGAAGAGATCGTCCGTGTAGGCTACTTATTTTCGTCGTTTACTTTTTATGTATGTGGTTTAGTGGGTCTTAAGTCACTGGAAGTAGCTTGTTTACAAATATAGGAAAGGTCTGTTTGTATTGGGTAGTTTCTCATCTCTACAATTTCATCTTCAGGTCTCAAGGTGAAAGTAATGTGAGCTTGACATATCGTTATTGTTAGAAACGTATCTCATTGCTGGGTTTTGTTATGTTTCAGTGGACAGCCAAAGCCGGATCAAGCAAACGTTCTGGCTCACGCTCAGCAGCAAATCGCTATTCAGGTACTCGTTTATTCTTGTTTGCTACGTGTTTTTTTCACTTTGACTCAAGCATTGTACGGTTTTAAAGTTCTCAAGTAATTTTCTATTGCGATCTAACAATTTCTGGCACCTGCAGAAACTTGCATTGCAAGCTAGTGGTGCCAATGCTGTTGCATTGGGCGGCATGGGTTTCCCTGGGCTTCCAATGATGGGTGGCATGTTTTCTGGCATTGGAGGGATGTCCCCAGTTGAAACACCGACTAATGTGGTCGCTTTGACTCAGGTGAGCTATCTGTTAAGGTTAAGTTGTGAGTGGTTTGGTTTTGGACGAAATTCAACCACATTTATATCAGAAGTTTCATTAAATTTCTCATTATGGCTATCCTAGTTATATCCTGTTCCTGTTTGATTTAAGTCAAAAAGTTGAAGGTCCAATATGCTTTATCAATTTATGTACAGGTTGTTTCACCAGATGAGTTGAAGGATGACGAAGAGTATCAAGATATATTGGAAGACATGAAGGAAGAATGTGGGAAGTACGGTATGTGTCCACAATGCAACTCATGGTCTTGATATTTTAAATCTAATAGTGTTATTTTCTGCGAAAGGGAATACCCCAATCTGAACTGAGACATAAAATTGTGTATTGCAGGTAACCTTGTGAAACTCGTCATTCCTAGGCCAAGAGATGGCGAAGACGTTCCTGGTGTTGGCAAGGTTTGAATTAGTCCTCCCCTCTAACCCTGTTGAAGTTGTTTAATTTATAATATTTTGGAACGACCGCTCCATGTATCTTCTTATAATGTAGCTTTTACGGTTTCGCTAATCTGTCTTCCTTTTAGTTAATTGTTTGTAGCATATGCTGATCTGTTCTATATATGTTTCAGGTCTTTGTCGAATATTCAGACACAGCAGGTGCCGCGAAAGCAAAAGCATCTCTTCATGGTCGTAGGTTTGGCGGACATTCTGTTGTTGCTGTCTACTATCCAGCGGAGAAGTTTTCTATCGAGGATTATGGAGGTTAAAAAAGGCATTTGCGAGGACCTTAACTTCTGTTATGATTATAGGTTAGAATGTGTATGCTATACTTTCATGATTCAAGGAATAGTAATTTTGTAAGGAATTAGTTTCAAGGGATTTATGACAGAAAAGCGGTGAACTTCCCATAAAAATCGGTTAGCGCAGTGTTCCTCTAGGCTTTTTGATTACCTAGTTTGTTACTCTTTTTGCAAACATTGGCAGTGGAGATTACTCATGTGTCTCTTAGTGCTTTTTGATGTATGGCGTAGACGTGTTGGAAAGCATCAGCTTACTAATACCAATATTTTGGATAGTTTTGATGCTTCTAATAGCAGTGGCGAGGGTCTATTAGGTTCGGCTCGTACTTAATAATTCATAGCCTTACATGCTAAATAGCATGGTGGTTTTCATTCCACCAGGCACAACACATACCTTATGGCATGTTTTGGTTTAAAATTATCAGTTATGTCATCATTCCACCATCTGTACCATTTATGTGGATTTATTTGAGCTTAACAACTAGAGTACCAGGAGCTTTGTCCTATCCACGAGTTTTCAAGTTGTTCCAAGGGTGCGTACCCGTAGGTTGGAGTGTCAATGAATATGTAATGGGGGTGTGGTTGGAGGGCAGGGCGAGACAGCAGCGTCACGGCAATACTGTGTATAAAATCTTCCACGACAGTACGTATGCAGTATGTTGCGTTTCACGTCATTGCTTAAAACTGTATGGATCCATAGACAAGTCACTAAGTGTAACTTTCAGTTTCGTTTATTTAATCACAGAATGCTCGCTGTGCCCAACCACTTCTGAACATGCCCTCTGCCACACCTTGTCGTACCACAGCCACAAACCTTCAAGCCTTGTTGGTAAATATTTTATAAGAAGTGTGTAATAATAATATGGTGATCAAAACCTTTGTCATGCAGCATTTGAGTTGTGGAGTAGGGGTTTGTGTCTGTATGTGTAATGTTTGAGGAACACCTTGAAAATACATGGTGTGGTTATAAAGTAAGAAATTATAAACTTTTAAGCCCTTATAGTTCTTCAGAATTTTTTCTCTAAGAAGTGAACATATCATGATGGTTGTTGAGGATTATTATGGTTACGAATAACAACTAAGATCACATTGGTAGCTAAAATGTATGACGAAGCTGTATGAGTCTACAACCTACTAAAGGACAAACATAAAAAGTTTATATTTATTTTTATTTCTTTTATTTTTTACATTGTGTTTATGATTACTTTGTCTTTTGGTGAGAAATCACGTCACCAAAAGTAGCATTGATTGGAAACTTTTAAGTGGAGATATTGGTAGTTGCACAATAAAATAACAGATTTATTATTTTATTATTTTATTATTTTATTTGAAGTATTATCAAGAAAATTTTGGATCTTGAAAGTTCTATAATACTTTAAAAAAATGCATTAAGAATCAACTTCCTCTTTTCCTGTATAGACAACACATTCTTTCTGAAAAGAAAAACAGGGAAATGAGGTCATTCCTGATTCGCAGCAGGAGATGTGTCTGCTCATTCTATATGAAGGATCCTTCACTACTGGGTGAATGAAAACATCCCTTGGCCTCCGCAAACAACAGATCTATCATTTATAGTAACTGTATATGGATTTACGGCTTTAAAATGTGGTGCATGAAGATGTTAACAAATGGCTGCTTAAGGTGCAGCTGCAGCCTACCACACCATTTCGGCAACCTGCAAGCGGGTCCTTTCGACACCATCTCTTTCAGGAAACGGAAAAGGAAACTGTAAATTCTAATAGATTGTGTACAACCGCAGTTTCATAGCAGAAAGATTGGAAACATTGTAGATGGATGTTTCACGTTTTTGCAATCAGTTAGTAACTTCATGTAAAGCCTATGAGATGGGTATTTTCGATCCAGTTCTGGACAGTCAAATATCTGGGTTCGTGTATGAAAAGGATGTTTGTTTTGTTTAGTAATCATGAACATTATCGCAATTTTAGACACCTTGTTAAGAGGATGCTTTTTTAGGGTTAGCAGAGTATTCTCAACACTATCACCATAATCATGAACATTATCGCAATTTTAGACACCTTGTTAAGAGGATGCCTTTTTAGGGTTAGCAGAGTATTCTCAACACTAACACCAACTCACTAAAAATAGCATGTGTGTTTCTTACCCGTCTATCTTTTGAGTATCTTGTTACGACCTTGTATTTGCCTGAATTGGTCCGGTGAATTTGGTCGCAAAGAAGAAACCCTAAGTTCATAGGCGGTGGAGTTGTGAGAAGCTCTTTTGGCAGTACACTCTGTCATTACTCCAAATTCTAACCCGGGGACAAAACGGGCGAAGAATAGTTTGAGGGCACTTCAGAGCAGATTCGGTTACCATATACTCCACAGCGTCTTCCTAAGTGAACCGGAGATGCTATATTTGCATAGAAACTTTGTGTTTTGTTGTTCTGCTTCGACTTGCAACTAAGCTTCCCCACCACTTAGAGAATTGCGATGCCATTTCCGCTGTGCAGTCTGTGGCACAACCCAGTCAAAGAATTCAATGTCAGAGGCGGACCATGCAAACGCAGTACAAACCGAATGCTAAATACAAATGAATAATAGCTCAGTTGCCAACGCGGTACGTGAACCAGCAGTTGGAACTACAAATTGTGCACAATGCAGGAATGTAATCGTTCGAATAATATTAAAAAAATAAATTAAAAAACACAAGAAAACTAGATTAGATGGTGGGTGCAATATTCCAAAAGTCGAGCATCCCATGAATATGAGCCCTGGATAGCTGACGATAGACGATAAAGCCACGACGATGGATGCTTATGCTACTGTTGCATCGCCCAAAAGGTGTTCCTTGGTAATATAGGGCTTCACTCGAATACCCTGAAAGGCTGCTCCTGTTGTGTGTGCGGGTTGAGCCTCACCGGAATCCTCGAGTGTTTTGTCCGGGTCCTAAGCGCAAATTCCAAATAATTTTACTCCTCAATTTCATGTCCTCCGCAGCACATCCCTACCGCATCGAATTATAACCACAAATCTATGATTCTCTGATCTCTTGCCTACCAAACCCCACTCCTCTGAACTTTCCTCCACTAATCAAATAGTAGCAACGATCCGTGACTGTAAATTTTACTATAATACTTAAGAGGATACTTATCGAATAACCAGCAGATTGGTGCATCTCACAGTAACCGAGAGTAAAAAGTACCTTGACAAATTGGGTCCTCGGGAAATAGCTCATTCAAAGTAAGCGAAAAAAGATTACTGGGGAACAAAACCTAGGGTTCGGGAAAGGTGCCCTGGGCTTACAAGAAAAGACCGAAACTGCAACGGAACCGCGGCGCGCGGTCGCCGACATCAGAAGTTCCCTGCTCGCCTCGCCACACATGTGGGAACGCCCTCCGATTTGCACCCGGGGCGCTGCTTCGCATAGCTCCTTCACTATTCAGGGATGACGAAGGCCCCTGCGGCTCGGCCCCTCGCAGCCCAATATGCTAATAAGACCCCACATCCTGCACTCTGCAGCAATGTCACAAGGTGCTCCATCCACCTCTGCACCTCTGCAGCAGTCATCACTCTTCTGTCACCTCTCCATCTTGTATATACCTTCACGTGCGCCTCATCCCTGCTAAGAATGAAGTAAGTATGCTCTCCGCTCGCTTCTCTTGATGGATACTCAAGCTCCTAATTATCGACTGCAGAGGTTCTTTTCAACCTTCGTCCCGTTGCGTCCTTCCCGCTTTCCGTAGTTTCGCTTCAATGAGAGGGATTCCCTGCACGAATTTATTGCGAAAGGCGCGATTGCAGGCATGTAACGAGTGTTTGTAGTGATTGCTCGGTCCCTTTCGCACAACTGGCCATGTACACATTGTGGATCCCAACAGAGGCAAAGTCGATGTCAACGGTGACTGGCAAGCAGTGCTGTCAACGAGACTGCTGAAAGCCACACGAGTAGTAGAAGATGACGAATTGTGGTTGGAAGTCTGTAGGACAATTACGGTGGATTTGTGAGCAGCCACAGAAGAAAAAATGGCATTCTCAGGAAATATTTGTCTCTTTCCTTACCAACACACGTTTAGTACAAAAGTAGACCAGCGAATAAGCTAAACTTCCCTAGCACCAACAGCAGCAAGATGAAAAACCGATACGGTTCCATAGTCCAGTTGTTCCTTAAGAGTTGCAGGACTGTGTACATTCGCTCTAACAAGTTTAGGATCTACTGCTGTAGTGAACAAAAATGGAACGGGATCTGACACTGATGCTCAAGATTGTTGTCCGTCAAGCAATACACCGCTCACGTGGTTTGTGTGTTGCACAGAGGAAGTAACTCCACACCAAAATTGCAGCCCTAGCAAGACTTTTTTCGGCACAAAGTTTTCAAGTACAGCCAGAAAAGGCGTGATTGCTGCAGCTGCAATCTTGGAAATTCAGGCCTCGATAGTGCATGCACATTGCAAAAACAGCTGATCACGCTTAACGCGATGGGAGTCTCCGTAGCCTCACCGGTTTTGAGCAATGAGGTTCTTGGACATCACGACGCGGATCTGCTGAAGACGAAGCTAGTTTCCAACGGCGGCTTCCAACCCCCCAAGCTGCTGCAGGAAGAAATGGCACCGTCTTCGATCATAAAGAGCCTGACCGTTGTGGACACGGACGAATTCGACGACGATTCGACATCCGAGGACGAGAAGGTGATGGAATATGTGAAGGAAATCCCGATTACCGACGTCGATGAGCGAGACAAGGGCACCTCGGACGACTGGATTCCGCGCCACCCCGAGCTGGTCCGCCTCACCGGCCGACACCCCTTCAACTGCGAGCCACCGCTGTCCACCTTGATGGAGGTATGTCACACTCTCCCCGTGCCCTCATGCCCTCAGGCAATCGTGCATTGTCCGACCGTTGCATGTGCATCCGGCCAGAGGTCGGTGCGGGGATTGTCGGGCGTTCAACGTGGGGACGAATAGCCGATCGTTGGAATAGCTTGGAACCTCACACATTCGCGACTGCGTGTATCCAGGCCGGATTCCTGACGCCGACGTCCCTGCACTACGTTCGAAACCACGGGGCAGTGCCGCGGGCGTCGTGGGACGACTGGAAAGTAGACGTCTCGGGATTGGTGAAGCGGCCCATGTCGTTGACGATGAACGACATTCTGCGGTTCCGCGCGCGGGAGTTGCCGGTGACGCTGGTGTGCGCCGGCAACCGGCGGAAGGAGGAGAACATGGTGAAGCAGTCCATCGGGTTCAACTGGGGCGCTGCGGCCGTGAGCACGTCCATATGGCGCGGAGTGCTGTTGTGCGACGTTCTGCGGCATTGCGGAGTGGTGTCCAGGAAGAAGGGCGCTCTGTATGTCTGCTTCGAGGGAGCCGAAATCCTGCCAGGTACGGAAAGTTGTGAGACCTCTGGATGGGCTCGGTATGGGAGTTGCATGCGTAGGCGTGTGGCTCACGCCGACAGGCGCCTTCCGCTTGAGTTCCGGGTCGCACAGGCATTGTATACTGGACGGGTCGACGCGAGAGCGTGGGTTCGTCGAGTGGTCAGGTCGGACGGCGTGATGCGACGCGGTGTGGGATGTGCATCTGAGAGCAGGATTGGGTGGTGTCTAAGCAAGGTCTGGGATGTGCATGTGCTCAGGTGGCGGGGGCTCGACGTACGGCACGAGCATCACCATCGAAACGGCGATGGACGAAGCCCAGGACGTGATGCTGGCATACCAGCAGAACGGGCAGTATTTGGAACCCGACCACGGTTTCCCCATCCGGCTGATCATTCCGGGCTACATCGGTGGCCGCATGGTGAAGTGGCTGAACAAGATCGAGGTGACGTCGCGAGAGTCGGGGAACTACTACCACTTTCACGACAACCGAGTGCTACCGTCCCATGTGGATGCTGAGACAGCCAAAGCCGAAGGTACGTGGACGTCCTGCACGCCGGTGCACAGCAGGTGGAATGCATGCAATGCTGACGTGCGTTGGTGCTCTCTGGTCGCACTGTGTGTGCAGTTGCTGATGGGACTCCTGGATGGCTGTGAGCAGGTTGGTGGTACCGGCCCGACTACATCATCAACCAGTTGAACATCAACTCCGCGATCAGCTCGCCGGCGCATGGAGAGACGCTTCCCGTGAATTTCTCGTCGCTTCAGGAGCCTTACATCGTGAAGGGATACGCCTACAGCGGTAGGTCCACAACCTCATTCGCATCCACCCGCGCAGCCGGGGGTGGAGGCGGGACTTCATCATGGTGTTGGGTTTGAGAATTTGGAACTCGCAGTAGGACCAGTCCGTGGCGTGCCACGGTGCTTTGTGATGTAGTTGTACTTGTAGACATAGTTTTAGTTTTAGTTTGGGGTTCCGCGTCGCAGTGGTGTTTGCCGCGGAGACGAATGGTGTCCTGACCTTTGCTCGACGTTGTCCGGCGCTGGCTGTGGTGAACAGGGGGCGGTCGGAAAGTGACGAGGGTGGAGGTGTCGCTGGACGATGGGAAGTCGTGGACTCTGTGCGACGTGAAGCATCCGGAAGAGCCGACGAGATATGGGAAGTATTGGTGTTGGTGCTTCTGGCAGATCGGCGTGGACGTGATGGATCTGCTGAAATGCAAGGAGATCGTGGTGCGTGCGTGGGACGCTGGCATGAACACCCAACCTCAGCATCTGATATGGAACGTCATGGTAAGAGCCCTGCATGCTTTGGCGCTGGGGTGTAATCTCGGTCTGTTAGGGAAGCCGCTTGGCGGCGATTTCCGTGGGACAGGTTGAGGGTCAGTGTTAGGATCTCATGCGAGTGGATTTCTTGTCATGCCGGATGGTTGAATCTCCGCGGCGATGTGCACGGAGAGCTTGGGTGCATGAGTGGGTGAGAGTGCATTCGAGCAGCAGCCGTCGCAAGGAACTCTACGCAGTTGTAAAGCAGTTGATCGACGCGACCCGCATCCACCTGGAGCAAGAACTGCTGCGGGTTCCATGTCGTCTACGATGTATTGCGCTGTGCAGCGTTAAGTTTGGTACGTCCTGTTCTGACCGCCGTCGCCGTGGCATGCTGCAGGGAATGATGAACAACTGCTGGTTCCGGGTGAAGGTCGGGATATCCAAGTTCGAGGACAGCGGCATCCACCTGGCATTCGAGCACCCGACTCGGCCGGGCAACCAGGTCGGGGGCTGGATGACGAAGTCGGAAGTGCCGCAAGCAGCGGCGCCTGTGTTGAGTAAGGTTGTGGAAACGAAGGTCACCCAACTTCCGGTGGCCGTTCGTCAGATACCGGTGTCGGAAGTGCGGAAACACCAGACTGAGGAGTCGTGCTGGATCATCGTGCGCAACAAAGTGTACGATTGCACGCCGTTTCTGAACGACCATCCGGGCGGCGCGGACAGCATCCTGATCAACGGAGGCATGGATTCGACGGAGGAGTTCGACGCCATTCACTCCGCCAAAGCCCAGACCATGTTGGAGGAGTACTACATTGGAGACCTGTCGGCGTCGACGGCTGAGGTGGTGGATGTGGCGCCCAAGACAGAAGCGGAGGCGATTCCAACAGCGTTGTCTGCATCAGGAAGGCCGGTTGCTCTGAGCCTCAAGGAACGGATCGCCTTCCGCCTGATCGAGAGGGAGGTTCTGAGTCACGACGTTCGGAGGTAAGGATGTATGCCTTGCCTGTGGGTGTGACCAGGAGCATAGTTTTGAGTATGTGTTATTCTGAGCGATGCGATGTAATTTGGGCATGGCAGCCTAGTGTGCGGGATGTGAGGATCCATCGGTGCCGGGTGGAGTGATGTCGCCTGACTATGCTAAACATGTGCACGTGGGTATTGCGCGGCAGGCTGAGATTCGCACTCCAGAGCGAGAATCACGTGCTGGGACTGCCGGTGGGCAAGCACGTCCTCCTGAGCGCATCCATCAACGGGAAGCTGTGCATGAGGGCTTACACTCCCACCAGCAACGACGACGATGTGGGGTACCTGGAGCTGGTGATAAAGGTGTACTTCAAGGACGTGCACCCCAAGTTTCCGATGGGAGGCATGTTCTCTCAGCACCTGGACACGCTGAGAGTCGGCGACACGATCGAAGCGAAGGGTCCCGTGGGGCACATCGTGTACGAGGGCAAAGGGCAGTTCCTCATCAACGGCAAGCCGAAGTTTGTGAGGCGGGTGGCGATGCTGGCGGGGGGGACGGGCATCACGCCCATGTACCAAGTGATCAGGGCGATCGTGAGCGACCCCGAGGACAAAACGCAAGTGTGGCTGCTATACTCGAACCGCACAGAGGAGGATATCATGTTGAGGAAGGAGCTGGACGCATGGCAGGAGAAGCACAACAACCTGGTGGTTCGGTACACACTGACAGGAACCGCGTCGGAGGGCTGGAGGTTCAGCAAGGGCCGGATAAGTGAAGCCATGGTGAAGGAGCACATTCCAGAAGGGGGCGAGGAGTCGCTAGCGTTGTTGTGCGGGCCACAGGAGTTGATTCAGGAGGCTTGTATTCCATGCCTTTTGAAGCACAAGTACGAGAAGTCGGCATGCCTAGAGTTTTAGGTGGCGAAGGGATGGGGAGGGGACGCACCCTAAGGACGAGGTGAGGCGGGGATGTGCAGGTGGAGTTTGTAGCATGGTGCAACCAGCGAGTTTGTAGACTGTAGAAATGAGTGGCGAAGGGTGACGATATGCGGTGTGGACGCATTTGGCGGTGGAAAATTTTAGCCGTGTATATTATCGATGTTGGTGGGTATCATAGTTGATGTTTCAATTCAATGACCATTATCGGTGTAAGTTGCACTGGGAATGATCATGGTATAGAGATGGCTGCATTTGCAAATCTCTACTATTTATAGGCAGGGGATGTTGTGCACTAGTTAGCGCGTCATTTAGGACTTGGATCTTGTATAGTTTACAAGGTTCGTCGTGGAAGCACCGAGAAAATTTCGGTCTAACGTTAGGGATTCCTTTTGGAAGTGTCAGCAGAATTTAGGTGTTACCTTCTGATTGATTTTCTAGCGCCATGTGCGAAGCCTAATTTGATCGATTTGTGACTTAGTCTCATTTATGAGATTATTATTTTTTGTATCAAGCTGTGTTTATTCCTTGCCATCGTTTGCGGGATGTGTCTCTGCTTCTTATTTTTTCTTATTGCTGTCATGTAAATTAGAACTAGGTATGTCGTGTTAATATAAGATGTTGCAAGTCAAAGAAAGTTTTGCAGACCCGTTCCGATTGTTTCAATTTGGGTTATCATGTGGCCATTTATGATTATAGTTTTGACTTAACCAAGTTAAATATACTTATGAAGCTTTCAAATTTATTGAATCCATGTGTTTAAGAAACATTCTCTTTTAATATCATAGTGGATCTTATGGTGGTCTTTGGTTACATCAAAATGTCACTGATAATTTGGAATGGTTAATAAACTAAAATTTGGAAGTGTAGAGCAATCTAATTTACTTTGGAATCAACTGCACCAAAAGAAATAAATTATTTTACTATATTGTAAAAATATCATTTTTTGTGTGTTCCGTTCAGATTTGCATCAAATATTTTTTTCTTCATTTTCTTCTCATGTTCAAATTTGAATTGATTGAAAAAAAACGAGACCTAGGCAGTTGAGTTTAGATTAAACAAACTAGATCAGCTTATTTCAAGTAGCTTTGCTTTTATTATAGATGAATGAAACTATTTGAGAGCTCAATTAATTTTTTTAATAAATACACTATATTTTTAGAATTTAACTACCCATTATTCATTTAGTGAATGCGTTCTGCCAAAAAATAGAAACTGAAATTTAAAATGTGTTCTTGATACTAATACGACTACAAAATAAGTAGTAAGTGTTTTTGAAAACAATATTTTGTATTATATATTGAAATTTATTATGCATTAAATATTATTAGGCATTATATATTTTCATATATATATATATATATATATATATATGTAAATACAGAAATGAAAACAAAACTGATTCCTCTCTGTTTTGAAAATTACTGTCATATTTAGTTAAAAATGATTAAATTGTTCATGTTACCTTTTATAATGCTTTTTGTTTCTTGGTTTTAAATACTCACATATTAAAGGTAATACACTAAGTATTCTAAATATTGTATTTCTAACATATGTTGTATCTAAATTTATTTTAATAAAAATTTGTTACTGATGTATTATGGTTCCATTTTAAAGAATTTTATTTTTTATTTTGCTTGCTCCACTAAATATATTTCTATGGGCACGATTATACAAAAAAATAAAAATGACTCTTTTTCTTATACATGATATTAAAAGCCAAAATAAACAGTTGCATCTTTTGTAATCTTTATTTTATGTAAGAGACCAGTTATTTCAATATTACATAAATTAAAAATCTTAATAATAGGTATAAATATCATTAGAAATATAAAAGATAAATCAAATTTTATTTTTATATAAATATGACTTATTTTTAAAATTTTTTATACAACTATTTACTAGCATGTTATGTTTTAGCTCCAATCATTAGAAACATAACATGCTATCATTTTTATTATAAGTTCAAGCTTAGTTTAGATCCATCATTTGTTGTCGGCTTCTCTCTACATTCCACCCTTTTTTATGTATGTTTTCTATGTTTAGATAGCACTTTGTGAAAAATATACTAAGAATAAGTTTGCTCATTATAACAAGCATGTGGCTTTATTTAAAAGAAATTGAATAATTTTCTTTCAACTTATTGTTTTATTCTATAATATGCAACTTTTTTACACTTTGTATATTATCAAAAATATTACATGACTACATTGAAAGGGTACTAAAGATATATAAGAAAATTAGAAAATTATACATGTTGGCTTTTAGAATACCAAATAAAACAAGCTTTAAAATTTGTTTTTTTGTAAATTATTACAATCCAAGTTGTATGTTGAATCTTTGACAATTCACTAAGTTGTAAGACATAAAACAAAAACCTTGTAAGAGAACAACAAATAATAGCATAACATGATTGTGGTGTTGTATAACAATGCAACCAAGTTTTTAATTAGGACTAAAATAGAGGATTTTTGCAAATGGTGCCATTACTTATCCATGCTTAATTTTCTTGTTGCTTAAGACATATAATTGATAAGCATGTTATTCGACTTTATATCTAATATTTGAATCCAATATTTTTTTAAATGTTATTTAATATTAACTAAAAAGATTTTCAACATAGTAAATATCTATTGATTTATCAAAGTCATATCTATTAGGATATCCTACACTATTTTTGTTGGCTAAGAAAAAATATTAACTTGCATTGTGCCCTTTCAATACTTCATAAATATTTCTATGCTTAATCTTTTATTTTTTCAATTAAAAGCAATGTAGAAATTAATCATAAATTAACTGATTTATTATTTTGTATCAATATATGAATATTTATTTATGGTATTAGTCAATAACTATATTTTATAAGCAACTTAAGCAAGATATGTGTATCATAATATTAAACAAACAAAGGATGTATTGACAATAGCACCTCAAAATATGTTAAATAACCTTTTGGAGAATATTAGCAATATCTTTTTTTTCAACTTAGATTATGATTATTTATGATTGCTAGAAAAAGTTACTAAAACAATTCTTTAATCTAATATTGAATAAGTTCTTTGAAGCTTATTTCCATTAATAATCTCTTCTAAAAAATATGCATATATATATTTTAAAAATATAATCCATAAAATTGCCAATATGCTTGCTATGAAGCTTGTAAAGCTGATTTTAGAAACCATTGTATAAATGACTTTTTTGAAGTGTATTGCAAAATCATCTAATGAGTCTATTAAGAAAAAAAATTATATTGGCACATTGGTGAAGCAAATTGTCAAGAAAAAAATCTCTAAAGAAGCTCTTCTAAAATTCTTTTTTATCTTTATTTTTGAAAAAAAGTACCCTCAAAATGTACTCTCATCTGTCATAAAATAATCAAAAAGTCGATTTTGAGAAGCTCATGTAGTTGAGAAGAACTTTCTTCATAAGATATTTCTATCTAAAATACTATTATTATAATATTTCTTCTAAGAATATATCAAATTTAGATAGCCAAAAAAATTTCTTTCTATAAGATAAATATATTTCTATTACAAAGACCTTCTAAGATTAGACATAAAAAAAAAATTATTATCAAAGGCTCTAGTAAGAACTAATAATACAAAGACAATAAATTTTCCACAAAAGTCTTTTTTTACACTTCTAATATACATTATATTTGGAATGGTGTATAACATATTGATCTATTGTTCATACAAGTCTTATCAACATCAATTGAAGCTATTGATATTAATTGCTTAAGAGAAGGTACTATATTTCCATGTACTTTGCTAACATAGATGCAAATTTCTTCAAACAAGTATCAAATTTTGATGTGTATAAGGATTTTACATAGAGCTTCAATAATATTCTTTGTACCTGTATTAAAAATAACCAAAAATATATAAGATTAAGATTCTAAATTAAGATCCTTATGACCTTTTTATTCAATTCTTTTTGGATATAAGATTGGTTTTAAAAACCAAAGTTGGTATGACTTTAAGGTATTAAAGAACCAAAGAATCACTTGCAAGTATTCAACTTTTTTGGATAAATACTGAATTTAGACCTTCTTATATTGATCTAAATATCTTGTCTTCTACCATCAAGTTTTACAGACATGACCACCAATTGACTATAGATCTAAGTCTTGGCATTTAAGATTAAAAATACATGTATGAAAAACAAAATGGAAAATTTCTTCTTTATTTTTGTACTTAGACATATTGCATTGAGGCCTTTACTTAAACATTGTAAGAAATATCACTTTAATTTTAAGTAATTGAATTCTATGCAAAAAAAGTTGAATAAGATAATAAAGGATTGAAGAATATGGTCTGACATTATTTAATGGTTGACTAAACTATAAGGAATTAAAATAATAAAATAAATACCATTGTTATATTATACTACTTTTTTTTAATATTAGAGCTTTTTTTTCTTGAAGAAATATGTACATTCTATATTAGCTACTTATTAGGATTCTATTTTAAAATAACTATTAATAATTTAAATAATTCAATATTAGATGTAGATGCCATCAAAAATATTATTTTAAAACATTAGAATTAAAAAAATGAAAAAATACTAGTAGTGGTGTATTATATATTCACATTACTTAAACAACTAAAAGCAAGTAGAAGTGGATAGAAGCATGTTAGATAAATAATATCTTCTTAAATAACCTTGAAGAACTGTCTTAAATGCAAATAAATCCTTTGGATTCTACCTAAAGATATTCAACCTAGCTATTGAATTTATTTTGTAAGTCTTTTTTCTTTTTTCTTCATTTTTTTGAGAAGTTGCATCAGAAGGACTTTACAACTTGGGGCTTGAGCCATGAGCCTTATGATCCTTAAGAAACCTCCACAAGATCTTCTTGGTAGTTGCTATTTTTAAGAACAAAAATGAGGCCATTTTTAATTGTGTCAATGTCTTTCTTGTATTCTAATCTTAGTTTAATAATTTTTTTTAGTTTTTTAATATTATTATTTTTTTAATATAATATCTATATATTTTTTGCTTATTTTCTTTCTTATAGTGATATAAGAGTTTTTTTTCTTCTTAAAGCTTTGTTTAAATTTTTTTGTTTTTATAAGTGGTTCTTCCAAACATTGTTTTTTATTTTTTATTTTATTTTTTAATATTTTTGCTTCTTAACATCAATATTAGAGAACAAGAACAATACTTTAGCTCATATTATCATATAAGTGTTGAAGAATCTAAAGAGATAAGAATGTATGCAACCAAGTTTTATATTAATTAAAGCATCAAATTTATACATTTTAAAATGTAATATGGTGGATAATCAAATATTACATTGATTGAAATCATAGATTATCTTTATAAAAATTTAAGAAGCTTTTTAATAAAAATGAGTCTTTGTAATGAAAAGAAAATGATGTAATTTATAGATGTAGTCAATAAATAAAACATGTAGAATATAAACATGTTTTTGTAGGACAATAGATCCAATGCATCTAATAAAACAAAGTTTTTAAAATAATTTGCATGATATTCTATTTTTTTTTCTAATATAATTATTTTTTACTT